AGGAGGAGCTCCAGTCGGAGCTGGGGGCTGAAGAACACCCCTCGAGAACACGAGACCCTCCGCCAACCAAGCTGAAGAACAGTCGAGGGCACCCTCCTCCCAGGATGCAGAAGAGCATCCAACACACACGAAGAACGTCAGGGCCCCCTCCCCGAAACGACCTCGAGCGTATACCTCGGTCCGACGCTGCTCCCCGGACCTCTCCGGTTTGCTCTGATCAGAATTTCGGCGAGAATCCTGCGGTGGCGACGGGGGGGGGGGAGGGCCTCCAGGAGGGAGAGCCCGAACAACGAGGCTGGGGAGGGTACCTGTAGCCCCAGGGACCCCGACGTCTTTTCTTGTTGTCCTCATCCGAGAAGCTATGCCTACATCCCGGTGCGCAGCACGGGGCACGCACGCGCGCGGCGACTGAACAAAAAACACGCCCCATGGGGGGGGGGAGCCGAGCTGGCGAGGCGCGCGGGCCTATCATGCCCTTGAAGACGACGTTCGGGAGCACGAAGACGGCGGCGAAGACGCCGAGGAAGACGACCACGTAGGGCCAGCCCGGCGGCGAGTCCGCGGCCAGGGCGGGCTGCGAGGTGAGCGCCGGAAGCGCCAGGCCCGCGGCGGCGGCGGCGGCGCCGGGGGGCGCCGCGGCCACCTTCGCGACGCCGCGGGCGGCGGGCACGAAGGCTGCGACGCAGCCGAGCCAAGCGGCGCCGAGGAGCGCGGCCAGCGCGAGGCAGCTCAGGACCGGGCGGCGGTCGGCGGGCATGCTTCCGAGCTCGAGGCCGCGCGGGGGACGCGCGCGGACGAAACAAAAAAAACAGTGCGAGCCTGCGCGCGCTGTGCCTGGAGCCAAGACGGCTACGGACCCCGACCTCCGACGTCATGATTTGTCATAGCGTCGACCCCCGGAGGTCTCGACCCATCCCCTGTTAGACTGGCCTCTCTCCTCCTGAGCCGTGTTCTGACGGGCCCGGCGGCCTCCAGGAAGGCTTCCCAGACTTGGCGGCGCGCACCAAGGGGGAGGTGGGAGGGCAGAAGGGACCTCCCGGAAGGAGGCTGCTTCGGCTTCTCGGAAGGCGCCGGCGCTACAGCTAGAGACAGGGCCCGCGCCTTCTGAGAGGCAGGGCTGCTTCTGAGAAGCCCTCCCGCCCCCCCCCCCCGGCGCCCCCTCTCTGCGCGTGGCCGGCAGCAGCCAGGAGGGCCTCCAGGAGGCCGCTTGCCTTCTTGGCAGCCCCCCGCCTTCTCGGGAGGCCGCTTACCTTCTTGGCAGCCCCCCGCCTTCTCGGGAGGCCGCTGCCCTCGCACCACCCCCCTTGCCGGCGCCGCTGGGGAGGAGGGGGAAGCCCAACCGACACCGCTCCAGTCGGAGGAGGAGGAGGAGGAGGAGGAGGAGGAGGAGGAGGAGGAGGAGGAGGAGGAAGAGGGGGAGGTAGAGAGGAGGAGGAGGAGCAGGAGGAGGAGGAGGAGGAGGAGGAGGAGGAGGAGGATGAGGAGAAATAGGAAGAGGGGGAGGTAGAGGAGGAGGAGGAGGAGCTCCAGTCGGAGCTGGGGGCTGAAGAACACCCCTCGAGAACACGAGACCCTCCGCCAACCAAGCTGAAGAACAGTCGAGGGCACCCTCCTCCCAGGATGCAGAAGAGCATCCAACACACACGAAGAACGTCAGGGCCCCCTCCCCGAAACGACCTCGAGCGTATACCTCGGTCCGACGCTGCTCCCCGGACCTCTCCCGGGTTTCGCTCTGATCAGAATTTCGGCGAGAATCCAGCGGTGGCGACGAGCGCCTCCAGGAGGGAGAGGCGAACAACGAGGCTGGGGGAAGGGTACCTGAGCCCAGACCCCCGACGTCATCTTCTTGTTGTGCCTCCTCCGAAGCTCTGCTCCACCGCGGGCGCAGCACGGGGCGCGCACGCGCGCGGCCTGAACAAAAAACACGCCCCCCATTGGGGGGGGGAGCCGAGCTGGCGCAGGGCGCGCGGGCCTCACCTGCCCTTGAAGACGACGTTCGGGAGCACGAAGACGGCGGCGAAGACGCCGAGGAAGACGACCACGTAGGGCCAGCCCGGCGGCGAGTCCGCGGCCAGGGCGGGCTGCGAGGTGAGCGCCGGAAGCGCCAGGCCCGCGGCGGCGGCCGCGGCGGCGCCAGGGGGCGCCGCGGCCACCTTCGCGACGCCGCGGGCGGCGGGCACGAAGGCTGCGACGCAGCCGAGCCAAGCGGCGCCGAGGAGCGCGGCCAGCGCGAGGCAGCTCAGGACCGGGCGGCGGTCGGCGGGCATGCTTCCGAGCTCGAGGCCGCGCGGGGGACGCGCGCGGACGAAACAAAAAAAAGCAGTGCGAGCCTGCGCGCGCTGTGCCTGGAGCCAAGACGGCTACGGACCCCGACCTCCGACGTCATGATTTGTCATAGCGTCGACCCCCGGAGGTCTCGACCCATCCCCTGTTAGACTGGCCTCTCTCCTCCTGAGCCGTGTTCTGACGGGCCCGGCGCCCCTGGCCGGGGCCCCCCCGGAGCCGAAGACTGCGAACACCCTCCCGTCAGGGTTCTGCTTCACGACCCGAGGGGAGAGCATGCTGCTTCGCATGGCGCTGACGCCCATGAGGGAAGTAATGGATCGGATCAGTGAGCGGATCAGTCTGGTTCTCTGATGGGGAGAGCCATGATGCTGTGAGGCGAGCCTGGCTCTTGAATGCTAGAACCTTCGGCTGCACGCACAGGAGCAGACCCTGGGCAGGAGAGACCCTCGGTGCGCGGCGTCTGCGGGGGGCGCGGGGGGGCCAACACACAGGCGCGCGCACGACGCCACTGCCTGCATCGCGCTCGGCGAGCGGGGGACCCCAGTGGGCCCGCACCAGAGGCCACTCCGCCGAAGGGCCACTCGCACGTGTAGCCTGAAGTCGGGCCCGTCCCCCTACAAGCGTAGGTTGGGCGAACGGATGCAAATATGCAAATAATGCTCCCCACATGCCCAACAATAGTCCAAACATCGTCCCGGGACGATTTCTTTTTACCATTTTTGAATATACCTCCTGTAGGAAGACAGGCCCGACATAAATGTGGCCGAAACCTCCCGTCATGTTTTCCGTTTCACGGGCTGGCAGGGCGCCCTGCCCCGGCCGCAGGAGGCAAAGGGTCAGTCGGCTGCAAGCAGGAAGGCGGTCCCCGCCGCAGCGTCTGGCGCGGCATGGAGGGGAGGAGAGGGGGCACGCAGGAGAGGGAGGGAGGGAGGAAGAGGAAGAGGAAGAGGAGGGAGTGAAGAAGAGGAGGGAGGGGGAGGAGATGAAGGAGAGGGAGGAAGCAAGGGGTGGGGGGCGGGGGGGAGAGAGGGAGGAAGGGAGGGAGGAAGAGGAGGGGGAGGAGAGGGAGAAGAAGGAGGAGGGAGGGACTCCCAGTCGCACCTCTTCTCACGGCCAGCGCTTATGTATCCCTCGTCCCGCGGGCGCGGGCTGCCGCGCGCGCGCTCGCCGCCCCGTGACACGCGGCGCTCGGCGCGCGAGGCCCGCTGCAAAAGTGCCCCGCCTCCTCCTCCTCCTCCTCCTCTTCCCTTGTCCTCCTCCTTCCCCTGTCCTCCTCCTCCTCCTCCCTTCTCCTCCTCCTCCTCCTCCTCCTCCTCCTCCTCCTCCTCCTGCTCCTCTCCTCCTCCTCCTCCTCCTCCTCCTCCTCCTCCTCCTCCTCCTCCTCCTCCTCCCACCCTCCGCCTCTGTTTCGTTCCCCCCTTGCCCAGATCAACGAACAGAGCACTCAACTCCCCAGCATCGGCGCCGTCGGCGTGGAGAAGGTCGGGCTCCACGTCGAGCTGTATCGGCGACACATCCGCGGTGCGGCGCGGTCCTCCGACCCCGCCTGCTGGGAACCCACCCGGGAGGCCTAGACTTGAGCGATCGCGGCCCTCCAACTGTGCAGATCGCTCGATGCTGGCGGCGCTCACCCTCGAACGCCCGCGTTGGGGTCGCCGCCGCGTCGACGCGGCGCGAACATGCCGTAGGTCACACAACCTCGCAGCACAGTGCGCTGCGCGGTCACCTTCGCGCCCTCGCGCGGGCACCCTGGAGCTTGAGACGGCAGGGCCGTTTTTGTTAATACCCTTTTCAAAAACATCTGCCCTTCAGATACAGAAAACGACAGAAAATCACCGAAACGGTACTGAAACGGCCTGGGCATGCACGGGATCCGAATGACGCTCGGCAGTGTCGCCCCCCCGCGTGCGTGGGCTTGCCGGGCGGGGGGACTGGCTCAGGGGGGGCGGACATCGGCCTTGAATCGGCGATGCGTCACCGACGAATTTGTCATCGCCCCCCGATGGAGAGCCCGCACACTCCTGGGCTGGAAGCGCCTGCGGGCCCCCACGGGCGATGAGTGCGCGGCTGGGGGCCGATGCGTCCCCCCGAGCATATAACCCCAGAACGTTGCCTCGACGGGGGAGGGCCAGGGCTCACTGGTTTTCGGACCATGACTCGGGCATCTGGCGGCCGTTCGGGAGGATTTTGGCACCCCCTGAACGCTCTCGACGAGGCGCAACTGATGGGACCCACCCCTCCCGTTTCGAACGGCGTGGGAAACATCGGATGAGAACCACTCCTGAGCCCATCCCGCCCTACTGCGGGCTCGTGTTGTGTCGACCCTGGCCTTGGTTCCTGACACCGCGGGGATCGGTCAACCTTAATAGATCGGCCGTTTCCGAAACGTCTGATCGTTCAACATCGACCGGTTCTGGGTCGCCGGCGGCGTTTCACGCTGATCGCCAGCGGCGGGCCCGCCGCTGGTCGACGCGACGCGAACCTACCGAAACGCTGCCCTGGAGGAGGAGGAGGAGGAGGAGGAGGAGGAGGAGGAGGAGGAGGAGGAGGAGGAGGAGGAGGAGGAGGAGGAGTAGGAGTAGCATGAGGAGGAGGCGGAGGGGGAGGGGGAGGAAGAGGAGGAGGTGGGGGGGAGGGGAGGTGGAGGGAGGAGGAGGAGGTGAGGGCAGGTGGAGTGCGTGAGGAGGAGGAGAGGAGGAGGGCTGTCCGCGCGACTACGCGCCCGGCGCGGAGCTGCCGGCGGCGCCCGGCAGGAAGGAGGGCACGGCCCCCGCGGGCTCGAGCCCGCCCACGCCGCTCCTCGGGAGCACGTGCGGCCGCTCGGCCCCGCCCCTGCCGCCGCCCTTGCCGGACAGCCACAGGTGGTGCGGAGCTGTGCTCGTCCACCTCCTCCTCCTCCTCCTTCTCCTCCTCCTCCTCCGCCTGCCTCTTTCTTCATCTCACTCCCTCTCTTCCTCCTCCTCCTCCTCCTCCGCCTCTTCTCTCCTCCTTCCTCCTCCTCCTCCTCCTCCTCCTCCCTCCTCCTCCGCCTCTTTCTTCCTCCTATCCTCCTCCTACTCCTCCTCCTCCTCCTGCTCCTCCTGCTCCTCCTCCTCCTCCTCCTCCTCCTCCTGCTCCTCCTGCTCCTCCTCTGCTTAGATGCCCGCCGCGCGCAGTACGGGGTTAGCGAAGATATTGGAAGATACTACAGGAGACAGGTGGTTTATAAGTGGGCTGTGGGTAACTGGGTTGTGAGTTCTGTGAGTGGATACAACACTGACTGCTCAAGTAACAGGGTACTAGAAAGACGTACGTAGTGAACCACTAAAGGTCTTCAGACCCCCCCAACAGGGAAAAACTAACAGCTGTTCCACCAATCGGGGAAACGAACTACTTGTCCCCCGCGGTACCCGCCACGCAACAACGACGCCGACAGCTACGAAGACGATTGCGACTACGACTACGACGACTACTCGTACTTATGCCTCAGGAGCGCTCGCACAGTACTAGGTACTAGGAGGAAGGGGGAGGAGGAGGATGAGGAGAAAGAGGAGGAGGAGGAGGAGGAGGAGGGGGTTTAGGACGATCCGATTGACCGCCGACAAATAAGGAGGGGATTCACAACTAGAGACCTTTAGAGCGCGTTTCTTCATTCGCGGCGATAGCGGGCGTTGTGGGGGAGTGCGGAGGGGCGGTATAACGAAACGCCCCCTCAAGCCGTGCGATTCGGGCGCCACCACAGCGCCCGCACGCACGACGGCGACAACGACGAGGACGACGACGAGCAACCACGACGACGAGGAGGACGACGACGATGACAACGAGGACAACGACGACAAGCGACCACGACAACGACGACGAGCGACGATGACGACAAGCAACCACAACGCCGACGATGACGACGACGAAGACGAGCGACGACGACGACGACGACGACGACGACGAAAGCGTCGACGAGCAACCACTACGACGACGACGCCTCAGACGATAATGACGACGACGGCGACGACGACGATGACGACAACAACGACGGCGAGCGACCACGACGACGACGAGCGACAACGACCACGACGACGACGACGAGCAACGACGACGAACGACGACGACGAGCGACCACGACGACGACGACGACAAGCGACCACGACGAAAAGCAACCACGACGACGACGATGACGATGACGACGACGAAGATGACGACGAGCGACCACGACGACGACGAACGACGACGACGACAACGACGGCGACGATGACGACGACGACGAGCGACCGCGACGACGACGAGGACGACGACCACGAGCGACCATGACGACGACGAGCGACGAACGACGACGACGATCAACTACGACGACGGCGACGAGCGACCACGACGACGACGGCGACGACGAGCGACGAGCGACCACGACGACGACGACGGCGACGACGACGACGAGCGACGACGACGACGACGACGAGCGACGACGGCGGCGACGATGACGACGACGACGAGCAACGACGACGACGACGACGAGCGACGACGAGCGACGACGACGATGACGACGAGCGACGACGACGACGACGACGAGCGACGACGGCGACGACGACGACGACGCCGAACGACGACGACGACGACGACGACACCGACGACGACGACGACGGCGCGGCGTCAATTTGATTCGCGGCGTTAGCGGGCAATGTTGGGGGGAGGGCGGATGGGCGGTATAACCAAACGCCCCCTCAAGCCGTGCGGTTTCGGCGCCACCACAGTGTCCGCGCGCACGACGACGACGACGAGAGACGACGACGAGGACTACGACCACAACCACGACGACGACGACGAGCGACGAGCGACGACGACGACAAGCAACCAGGACGCCGACGATGACGACGACGACTACGAGCTACGACGACGACGACGAGCCACCACGACGACGACGATGACGACGACGACGACGGCGAGGACGAGCGACCATGACGACGACGACAACGCCTCCGACGGCAATGACGACGGCGAGGCCGACGACGACGACAACAACGGCGAGCGACCACGACGACGACGACGGCGACGACGACAAGCGACGATGGCGACGACGACGAGCGACAACGACGACGACGACGAGCGACCACGACGACGACGACGACAAGCGACGACGACGACGAGCAACCACGACGACGACGAAGATGACGACGACGACCACGAGCGACCACGACGACAACGACGATCGACGACGACGAGCAACTACGACGACGACGACGACGACGACGACAAGCGACCACGACGACGACATCGACGACGACGACGAGCGACGACGACGACGGCGACGACGACGACGAGCGACCACGACGACGACGACGAGCAACCACGACGACGACGATGACGACGACGACGGCGACGACGAGCGACGACGACGACGACGACGAGCGAAAGCGGCGACAACAAGCGACCACGACGACGATGGCGACGACGACGACGACAACGACGAGCGACGAGCGTCCACAGCGTCGACGACGACGAGCGACCACGACGACGACGACGGCGAGCGACGACGACGACGACGAGCAACGACGACGACGACGAGTGACAACGACGCTGACGACGACGACGACGACGACGACGGCGACGACGGCGACGACGACGACGACGACGAGCGACGACGACGACGACGACGAGCGACCACGACGACGAGCGAGGCCTTCGGAAGCCTGCTGAGGCCTCTGGATTTCTCCAGAGGCCTTCCGGAGGTCGTCCGAAGGCCTCCAGAGGCCCTCGAAAGCGATCGAATTGCGTTTGACAACGACGAACGGCCACGAGCGATGACGACCGACTATAACGACGACGACGATGACGAATATGACGACGACGACGACGACGCCAACTGACGACGACGACGACACCGACGACGACGACAACGAACGACAAGGAAGATCGACGACAACGACGACGACGACGACGACGAGGGACGACCACGACGACCTCGACGACGACGACGACGATCGACCGACAACGAAGAGCGACGAGGAGTTGTGGCGAGCACATGCCTGCGAAGGTGTCGTTGCCTCCACGAGGCGTATAAGAGGTATGTTCCTTACCTCCCTTCTCCATCCTCGTCGTCGTCATCGTCGTCGTCGTCGTCGCTCTCGTTGTCGTCGTCGTCGTCGTCGTGGTCGTCCTTCTCCTCCTATTGCTCCCTCTGACGAACACCAAAAATGCCTGAGAGTAGCGCAGCTTGCCCGCGACCACTGCTCCTATGCGGGTCTCTATATGTGGATCCCTATGTGGACCCGCGGAGATTCCTGTGCGCATCCCTATGTGGATCCCTATGCGGATGCCTATGAGGATCCCTATGCGGATCCCTATGCGGATGCCTATGCGAACTGCCATATTGATCCCTATGCGGATCCCAATGCGGATCCCTATGCGGATGCATCTGGTGATCTCTATGCGGATCCCCACGCGGATCCCTATGCGGATCCCTTTGCAGACCCCTCTGCGGATTTCTAGAAGGATCCCTTGGAATCCCAATGCGATTCCCTATGCGGATCCCGATGAATATCTCTATGCGATCCCCATGCTAATCCCTACGCGGATTTCATTTCTGTGCGGATGCCTATGCGGATCCCCATTCCGGTTCCTGTGCGGATCCCTGTGCGCACCGCGGCAATGCCGGGGGCGCACTGGCGGCCGGAGCGTTACGTGATGGGGGGGGGGACCGGGCGGGCCATGACGCGCGTTGTGGCCCAAGCAACAAAGAAACAGGCTCTTAGCGGTTCGCATGTCTGGTGTGGAGGCGAAGGGGGTGAATGCAAGACCCGAACTCTGGAGTAGCACCATGGCGCAAAAACATTACCATCGCTGAGGTGCGGAACAAAAACACACACACACACACACACACACACACGGTGGGAAAAACACACACAAGCACACTGTGGGAAAAACACACACAAAAACACACACACAACTGTGGGAAAAAACACACAACTGTGTTGTTGTTTGTGTGTGTTTTTCCTACAAAAACTGACGTGGCGTAGCGAAGAACGTGCCGAGGCGTGGCTTCCCCCGTGGGGAAACCCACCCCAGGCGTGCTCGCGTCGAGAGTAGAGCCATCCACGACGAGACGGTTCTTGCCGCCTCCGGCCTCCGTTGGGGCCCTCGGCTCGGCCCCGGGGACGGCCAAAAACACGACCCCCGGGGTGGCGGAAGCGAGCCTGGAGAGCGGGTCGGGACTCCCGGGGATGCTCCGCTGGAGCACTCCCGCCGTGCCGATGGTCTCTCGAGAAAGCGGCGTCGAAGCCGATGGGTCCCCGAGGGAGAGGGGCAGGTGGTGGTCCAATGTTCCACCACCACTGCAAGCATAGGTAGGGCGGGGCAGGAGGGAGGATTGGGAGGTCCTCCTCCTCCCTCCTCCTCCCTCCTCCTCCCTCCTCCTCCTCCTCCTCCTCCTCCTCCTCCTCCTCCTCCTGCCCATGGCATTGGTGGTGGGAAATCGGCCCATCAGCAATGGGGGCCGCGCAGCTCCCCCCACGTGTGGCCGGCCTGCCTTGCCGCGCGCGAGCGCGGGCCGGCTGCTCTGCAGGGGCTCCTCGGGCGGCCCGAGCAGGGGCTGCCCCAGCCGTGCCCCGACCTCCAGCGCCTTGCGGCGAGCGACCCCCCGGTGCGCGCCGCATCATCCTCCTCCCCTCCTCCCGGCCCCCCCGTCCTTCCTCCGCCTCCTCCTCTCCATCATCCCCTCCTCCTCCTCCTCTCCTTCCTCCTCTCCTCCTCCCTCCTCCTCCTCCTCCCCCTCCTCCTCCTCCTCGTCCTCCTCCTCCTCCTCCGAGGGGGGCGAAGTGAGAAGGAGAAGGCCTTCCTGCTCAGAGGGCGGCTGGCCTTCTCAGAAGCCCCCGAAGGCTTCTGGGGGGCTTCCTGCGTCTTCGGGGGAGGGCTGATAAAACTTCTCGGAAGTCCAGAGGCCGTCCGGGCCTTCTGAGAGGGCCTTCTCCTTTGCACTTCCTCCCCAGGCGCGCCGCCGATTGAAAGGATCAAGACGGACGCTGTTTGCGATTTTCGGCTCTTGGGTCCACCTCTGGGCTCCAAAACCATCGAAACACTGCACTGGGTGAAACGGGAACCGTCCCCTGGAAAAATTGATCGAGAGGTCTGGGAGGCACTGCTTGAGCAAATAATGGGCGTCCCCCCTCGTCAGCCCACTCCGTTTCCCAGACCTCCGACCGTCCAAAGTCTGGGCAATGGGGTGGGTCGACGACCCTCAGACCCGACGCCGCGAAAAAATACGAAGTCGTGGGGGATCACGGCCAGGGCCCTGGACGAGAACCTCTTGAGGCATCCGTGGAGCCGCATCGACGATCGGCCCGTGTCTCTCCCAGAAAACAACGAAGCCGCCCGGAGGGAAGCGCTGAAGCGGCAGGAGCTCCAGGGAGGGGGGGGAGGCCCCATGCGAGGGCAGGGGGCCTCTCCGAAGAGGGTCGGTCCGTTCCGACGGAGGCTTTTGAGAAGAGGCCCTCGAAGCCGCCCGGAGGAAAACGCTGAAGCGGCAGGATCTCCAGGGAGGGGGGGAGGCCCCATGCGAGGGCAGGGGGCCTCTCCGCGAGGAGGTCTGTCCTTTCCGGGAGGCTTCTGACCGAGAAGAGGCCTCCGCGGGGAGGCAGGGCGGGCCCGGGCGAGAGGCGGGAGGGGCGCTCCGCAGGAGTCCGCGCCCGTTGCCGTCGCTGGGATGGCCCCTTCCCCGTGCGTTGTGGATGCCACGGCAATGGACATCCGAACAGCCCTATCATTGAATTTAACATGTGTTCAAAATGTGGCAACATGTGCTAAACAGGTTTTAAGCATCATTTCCTTTTCAAGAACATATTTTCATCAACATGCTCAATACATGTCTTAGGCATCTGGAAGTTGTTTGGCAACGTGCTTCCTCTCCGCTGGCCGTCCTCCACACCTCTTGGCTTCGTGCGTGCTTCCCTGTCGTTGCCAGGGCAGGGCGGGCCCGCGAGGGGCGGGGAGCGCGCTCCGCAGGGGGACGCGCCGCCCGTGCCGCCGCCCGGCCGGCCCCTGCCCCGCGCGTTGTTTGTGTCTTGGCGTCGTGCGTGCACCGTTTTTTTTTTTTTTTTTTTTTTTTTTTTTTTTTTTTTTTTTTTTTTTTTTTTTTTTTTTTTTTTTTTTTTTTTTTTTTTTTTTTTTTTTTTTTTTTTTTTTTTTATAATTTATAAACAAAAAATGTTTTTTTTTTTTTTTAAAAAAAAAAAAAATGCCAGATGCTCCGGGAGGCTGCTCGCTGGTGCCCGCCGAGACGCCGGGTGCACACCTCCGAGCAGGGCTGGACCGAAGCGTTGCGTTTCGTGTTTTGCCGTTCGTTGTGTCCGTCGTGTTGCTCTGCCTGGCTTCCTGCACCTCCCTGCAGGCACGGAAGGCAAACCTCAGCCGAAGTCCAGCAGAACAGCGTTTAGGTCCAGCCCCGCCTCCGAGCGGTGCAAGGTCCCGACGCGGGCAAAGCAAAGTGGGTATCCGCAGCCATCAGGGCCCCGTAATCCCGGACACGCTAGGCCCAGACACCCAACATCTCTCGAGACCCATTTTTTCCAAACAGCGGCACGAGCAAAATACTGCACTGCAACCTTTCCAGAAGGAACCCGGGCACAGGCCCTAAAAGCCTACAGAACCCCCCTCAACCAGGACACGAGCCCGAATCCTGCAGAGCAGGAGGCAACAAGTGCCCGGGTGCTGAAAACTGTGACTCTGCAGGAGAGGCTGCCGTTTCCTTGGATTCCCGTGTCCTGGCTTGCCTGCGTCCTGGTCTCCAGGGGCCCGAAGCCGCTGCACCCGCCCGTGCCCGGCTGCCCCGTGCACCCGCGGCCCCCCTCCCTTGGCCGCAGACCCCGCTCAGAGCCTCTCCGTCCCCCCCACGTGCTGCCCTGGTGGCCCACGTTCTCCACCACTACTGGCACAGGTAGGACGGGGACGGGGAGGTCCTCCTCCTCCCTCCTCCTTCTCCTCCTCCTCCTCCTCCTCCTCCTCCTCCTCCTCCTCCTCCTCCTCCTCCTCCACCTCCTCCTCCTCCTCTCCTCCCTCCTTCCCCCTCCTCCTCCTCCTCCTCCTCCTCCTCCTCCTCCTCCTCCTCCTCCTCTGCTTCTTCTTCTTCTTCTTCTTCTTCTTTTCTTCCTCCTCCGCCGCCTCCTCCTCCTCCTCTTCCTACCCCTTCCTGCTCCTCCTCCCTCTCCTGCCTATGGCGGTGGTGGGAGAATCGTCCCGTCATGCCCTGCTCCCTAAGACGCGCCCCGCCGTGGCGGCGAGGGGGTCGCCTCCGAAGCAATCGCTGTGGCCAGGAAGCCTTGCCACGAGGGAAGCGGGTCCTGAAGGCAACGGGTCCTGGAGGCCCTCCCTGTACCAATTACTTTCACGAGCTGCCCTCAGACCCCGTCGTTGCAAGTTCGTCGCGACGGGCGTTTCCGCCCTGTCGCGGGCCCCTGGGCCCTCGCAGATCGATCCGGCGCGAAAAGTGCAGCAGAAAGATGGGGTCTGGGGCTCCTGTGGCGATCCTTTACGAGTGGCTAATTCATTATTTCAACGGCTTGCCTGCAGTGTTCTTACTTGTTTTGAACAGCTGGTGGGTGCCAGGCTTGCGGCGGCCAGCCTTGCCCAAGCTCCCCAACTTCCTTGGTCTTGTTCCCGTACTGCTTTTGAAGGAGTCTTGCCTGGGCCCATCGCGTCCCACAGGCAATACCAAGCAAAGCAACGCAAATCAATGCAACGCAATGCCAAGCAATGCGAAACAATGCTGCTAGCCAGACCCAAACCTGACCAATAGTTATACATTCTCGTCGGGCTCGTTTTCGTCTGTGTCGGGGGGCCGGCTATAACACAATCGTCATCGGCATATGGCCAGGGACAGGGGAAGACACAATCTTCCATGAAAACTACATTCAACTCGAACTGACTACTGAGAACGAATACGATCACGGCGATACACACATGTCGCCGCGCCACTTGCTCTCGACGCGCCCAATTGGTCGACGCCAACACCACGGCAAACCCACGACAAACCTTGCGTCCCGCGCCCAAATAGCCGACGCCAGCACCGCGGCAATCCCACGGCAAGCCCTGCGCCCGAGGCGGCGTTTGCCCTGGTGGCCGCGGCGCCCTCCCCCAAACATAGGACCGCGCGTCGGAACCAGCGGCGCGGCGACACATTGGTAGTGTTGCTACTGGTTGTGATGGCCAATCGGCGGTCTCATGGGTTATGGACCCAGCTCCCCGGATTCAGACATCAGCTGCTGGGATTTGGCATTATTTTGCGTTGCTTCGCATCGCATTGCTTGGCATTGCGTTGCGTTGCTTGGCGTGCTTTAGCATTGCTTCACTTTGCTTTGCAATGATTGGCGTTGGTTGGCATTGACTGGCATGGGCTGGCATGTATTGGCAATTCTTGGCATTGGTTGGCAGATGGTTGGTATGGATTGACATTGCTGAGCTTTGCTTGCCACTGCTCTACATTGCTGTGCAGTGTGAGGTTTTGGTTCCCTACGCTGCGCGTTGCTTTGTAACGCTTTGCAGCGCTCGCCCTGAGCCCTGCACACCTTGACTGACCGAGGAGGGGTCAAAGGGGGAGGGAGATGCGGAAGAGGATGCGACGCAGCAGGGGGAAGCGCCGTGCTGAGCGCTGAGAGCGAACACCCGCAGAAGGGGGAAGGGTGGCCCAAGAGGACCCGACCCCCGCCCACCCAGAGACCGCCCACAAGCCCACCAGAGGATTACGGCTCCGGGGGGGGTATGGACCGTCTGGAGGATGGGTCTGGGGTCTGGACAGAGGATGCCTGTAGCGAGAGACCCCACGGAAAACACCCCTGTCGTCAAGGCACCTTACTGCGTCGTTTCGTAAGATTTGCATACTGAGGATGCGGGTCCCCGAATGAGCATACCTGTAGTTCTTGGGCATTGATGGGGATGTGTTTACTGCGGCTTCCTCAACGGAGGGGGCCTTTTTAGTACGGAGCTCTTCCCCTAAAGCGCGCATCCCATGACCAGTGGTTGAAGTCGAATGAGCATGTCGCGAGCGGGCTGGTACTGTGGGCGAGGGAAGGGAAGAAGGGGGGAGTGTCTGATCGTGACGACTGACTGGCCGCTTGACGCAGGTGCTTCTGATAGGCTAGAGTGGAATGGCGCAACGATCTCTCGATCTCGTCTATCTCGATCTCGTCGATCGGCAAAACGAGGGGGAGGCGGTCACTCCCCCCAAGGGGTGCGGAGGGGGCCCGCCCATTCCTTAGGAAGGGCCAGCAGCCGCAGCACCTCTGGCTCCCAACAGTGCCAAGCAACGCACACCAGAGCAACACGCTGCAAAGCAGTGCTGAGCAACGCCAATAAATGAAAAGCAATGCTTCCCCTGCTTACTTACCCACTTAAGAAGCGTTCCCCTGGCGGGGGGTGGCGCTGAGCTCATGCCCCAAGTCGTTCTTGTTACGGGCCCAATGCCCGGTGACTGCCCAGAGAGCCCTGACACGGCGAAGAACCCATGTGCCTCAGGACCCGCTTGCTTTATTGCGGCGAAGGCCCCCACCTGGCCCTGTCCGCATCCGGCGCCTTGCCATGCCAGACGCGTACAATCGAAACGCTATCATAAGGAACCCTGCGTAAGGAACGAGGCCGCTATTTTCAGTAATTTGATATTCGATTCCTTAGAGAATACCTAAGGACAACCTCGGAAAGACTGTAAAATAATCAGAGAACACGGAGCCCCCCAAACGAAACAAGGTTCCTTCTTCAACGGCCCGACCGTACACACATACGACAAGAAATCTTGCTGCAAGGGCACATTATTCGTCGAACCTTGACGGTCCTAAGCTGCCGCAGAGCTTCTGTGGGTCCCAGGTGCCATGGGGGGACCAGGACTTTCTGTCGGGCACCTGCTGGCAGGCCGATTCCGTATTTGATGAGCCTCCTTACACCGATCCTGGGCCAAACGTTGGCCTGGCAATGATCGGTGCTGATGCGTGGCGTCGGCTCTCCCCGAGGGGCCCGGACGAATCCAGAGCCAGCGCCTGGGAAACCGATCCTCCTTGACCCCGTGAGACAGCGGATGAGTTGAGGGCATCGGGTGAGGAACCGTTGGGCAAGAAATCCAGCGTCTGGAAGCTGGCGGAACTTCAGTTGAGGATTGGCCATGGCATTTCGCCGCTGCCCTCATGAGATAAGGAATCCTCCAGGGTCTGAGGCCTCCTGTTCACATTCCTCAACGACCGCCCCCACCGCAGGCCCCCCCCCGGGGGCCCAAGAGTATCCTGTCCACCGCCCCCGGGGGTCCCGGGAGGAGAACCACGGTCGCGCTCCGTTCAGGGTTTACCCAGCTGGATGATCCGTCAGTGTTTGGCCGCCTTGACTTGGTCAAGTCTTGGTTGGAAGTTGCGCCAAAGGTAGGCTGGATCACGCCATGTCTTCGACTACACGCAAGAGTGACCCTGGGCAAGAGTGACCTTTGGAGCGCGGTTCATTGGGGGCGGCGGGGGACCAAACACGAGCGCGCAAGATGCTAATACCACATCGCGTTCGACGATCGGGGTGCCCCCTGGGGCCCGCACCAAAGGTCACTCCGGCGAAAGGTCACTCTTACGTGTAGTCAATGTCTGTCCAATGCTTGGGCATGCTGCCGGCACGCCATAGCGAATGCTAAATCTCCATGGTGTGAAGCAAAGAAGGGCCCCGTGGATGCCTTGATGGCGATGAGACTCCAACTTGGCTGGGATCCTGCGAGCCCGTACGAGTGGCTAGACGATGCATGACAGGTTTTTTTTTCTTGCTCCAGAGCTTGCCACCGACCAGCGCACCCCTTTTACCTTGAGCCCGCTGGGGGCAGCCCCCAGGGATGGAACCAGTGCGTTTTGGCGGAGGCGGAAGGGGCGCTGGAGCAGAAGGTGTGGGAGCAGCATGCGTCTCAACACTTGTGTGAGGCAGGTTTAGAACTCGGGTGTGACCTCACTCTTTTCCGCCGCCACCTCGCGAGGTTGAGGTCTAAGGGTGAGGCTAGTTTGGCTGCTGTTGTTAAAGCCCAGTAAAGCGACTGGCGTGCTGACACCCCCCCTTCAAGATAAGAGGTGCGTCGCGCATTCGTCGCCCGTGCGCCGCCCGTGCGTCGGCCGCCGAAAAAGCCAGCCGTCCTCTCGAACGTGCACGTCGCCCTCGCGAGGGGGCAATTTGGCGAGTGCGTCGCCAGCGCGGCGGACACCCACGGGGCGGATCGCACGCACGTCGCCCTCTCCACGGCCGCTGAAAAAGGCCGGTCGCCTTCGGGACGGCAGCCTGCCGTCCTCGAGATGGTGGCCATCGGCGCCCTACGGCCGGCCACGAGGCGCGCTCCCCAGGCCCCCGTCGGGTCCGAGGAGAGGCGTTTCCGGCGGTGTGGACAGGAGGAGGAGCAGGAGGAGGGAGGAGGAGGAGGAGGAGGAGGAGGAGGAGGAGGAGGAGGAGGAGGAGGAGGAGGAGGAGGAGGATCCGTTTCACCAAATGTCGGGCTGCCCCTGCAACCCCCCTCTCCTTCCTGAGGACCTCTCCCTTGCCCGGTAAGCCCGTGAAGCACATGCTGAACTCCCATGTTTTTGGCTCCGCGGTTTTACTCCTGCTTGATGGGCCCACGACCTCATCGATTCGTGGCTGGAGGGCCAGGCCCATTTTGAAGGAGCATTCGAAGCCTGAGGGCGCGTGCCCTTAGGCGCTGATGATAGGGCCTGGTCGGACGGGAGTGGGGGGGATTGTACTGTCGATAAGAAGCGCCTCCGTCGTTGCGGATGGGGTTGCGTCATTGCACAGGGAGGTCGTGTGGTAGGCAGAGCGTACGGCACCCTTCCAGGACGGATCCAGGCGGTTCCCCTAGCGGAGCTGGTAGGTATAAACGTAGCTGTGCAGCGCAATGCCGGTGAATGTCATTTTGTGCTCGACTGCCAGAGCGTGATTGATGGGATTCGTCATGGACCCCAGTGGAAGCACGAGGCAAATTCGGCAGCGTGGCTCGACTTTGGGGAGGCCTATGAAGGCCATCCGGGGCCGTGCAACTTTAAGAAGGTGAAGTCCCACCTCGAAGAAGGGGACGTTGGGGTCTATATTACCCGGGAGGACTTTACCGCCGACCAGGCCGCGGATGAGTGTGCCAGTGAAGGGGCGCGCATGGCAAGGCTCCCCCAACATATCATCCAGCAGGTAATCGACATAGGTAATAAAGCCGTCCGCGTGCAGAGGCGCTTGACAGAAGTCGCGCTGCAAGTGGCTATCCCAGACCCCATCCCTGTGCTCGGCCACTTCTCTAGCTGATCGTGCGGCCCGCAGTTGAGCGTCCCCGGCCCAGCGTCAATCGAACGTTGAGCAAGCACTGTAGGAGACCACACGCAGCGTGATCGAGAAGGGGGGGGGCAATAAGTTGTGTATTGCCTGCCGATGGCGCCCTACCAAGGAGTGTGGGACGCTGGAGTGGCTTGCCTCGCAATGCCCAGGCCGGCCGCACCAGATCCATCAGAGCCATGAACTGTCTTGTGCTCGTGAACTCCGGTGGTTTCGCAAGTGTAGGGCTTACAGCAGTGCGAAGACCTGCGCAGGATTGCAAGGCACCTGCCACCGCCCAACAGACTGGGGCAATTAAGGGGCTGTACAAACTCCTGGATGGCCGCCTCCCACCAGGTCTGAAGACCTGGCCAGACGAGATAGACAAGGGGCAGGGTGCAGGGTAGTTTCACGCGCGCGCCGTCCCCCCGCGTCATGTGCGGACTTGGGGACTTTGAGTGTGCGCCAGGAGGAGGAAGAGGAGGAGGAGGAGGAGGCGGAGGAGGAGGAGGAAGAGGAGGAGTCTCGAGTCCATGTCTGATGGTTCCAGGGGCGCCATCGCGGTACGGTGCACACATGTCGTCCGCGGAGATATTCGGGGGCGCGCAAGCATGGATTAGCCATCCATGGATTTGGCGTGCGGTCGCCAAATCCATGGATCGGGGGAGGTGCCCTCCCCAAAATGCGACCGGTGCCGCCTCGTTCGGGTGCGGAACAAAACGGGACCCGTCGCTAATCCACGCCCCCTTGATCCATCTTTGCGATCGCCTTGATCCATGTTTGCGTTCGATCGCGGTACGGTGCACACAGGCGTCGTCCGCGGAGATGCAGTCGGACTTGACAGGAGAGGACGCGCGAGAGGACACGAGACCCTTCCGAGGGCCACGCTTCCACAGACCTGCAGGAGGCACAGGCCGAAAGACACAGGGCACGAGGGTACACCCTTGACCTGGCAGGGTCGACCTATACTAATCCGGGCCGCCCGTGGGCGGACAGCTCCCCGCCCCGCGGGTTCCGCGCGCCGCCGGGCTCCGCGTACGACACGCGGACGCTGCCGCCACCAGGGGCCGGCGGTGCAGCGCGCTGCCCGGCCCCAGCGCCCGCGCGGACGTCGACTGTCACCAGCCTCGGCACGTAGGCGTCCCTGCCCCGAAACTGCACCTCCGCGCAGGAGCGGGCCGCGCGACGTCCCCGAATCTCTCCTCTTGTTCGACGTGCGGACGCGAGCACGCGCGCAGCCGCGGCGCTCGACCCCACCCAAAGGCTCAGTCCGGGACCTTTGGGAGCTGCTTGGCGCAGCCAGGCATGCAAACGTCTCCGCGCTGCCTCTCGCGCTGTCCCCAAATCTCCCACAATGTCTCTCTGGTTGGAAAAACGGCGGCATGTCCTGGATTTCGGCTCTCCGGGCGCCGTCTCCGGGCCCAGGGCCAAAACACACGTGGATCTCTATAAGTAGGGCCGCGGGTTAATCTCTAGAAGGGAACGGAAGGGGAGGGGGCCGGAATCTCTATAAGTAGGGCCGCGGGTTAAAATAAAAAACAGATCGGCAGATGTCGTGACCGTGGTGCGACGTCGATGGCGTTCGCCCGACCTCCGGGTGTCGTGGCACCGCTCACGCTGGATATGTCTGTCACGGTTGCTGCTACCGGCCTCTGGGGGCCAGGCCCAGGGGCCGCCTCGAAGAACAAACACAGGTTCCCGGGGGAGGAGGTCGAGATCTCCCGGGGCGAGGAGGAGGAGGAGGAGGAGGAGGAGGAGGAGGAGGAGGAGGAGGAGGAGGAGGAGGAGGAGGAGGAGGAGGGGGGGAAGAGGGGGAAGAGGGGGAGGAGGAGGAGGAGGAGGAGGAGGAGGAGGAGGAGAAGGAGGAGGAGGAGGGGGGGAGGAGGAGGAGAGGAGGAGGAGGGGAGAGGAGGCGGAGAGGGGGTCGAGACCTCCGCGGGCCCACCTTGTCCGGGGGTCCGAGTCGGAGCGGCGAGCGCGGAGGGGATGGGGTGTACATTGGGCCCCTAGCTGGACTCCCGAGAATGGGGAAACCAATCGGTACTGCTATCGCTACTCCCCGGACCTCTCCGAGAGTGCGTCCTGACCAGGACTTCGCAGCGAACCCAGCGGTGGCGACGAGGGACTCCCAGGAGGCCCCGAAGGGAAAAAAGAGCCAAGGGTAGCGGTACGCGTACCTCCTCCTCCTCCTCCTCCTCCTCCTCCTCCTCCCCTCCTCGTCCTCCTCCTCCTCCTCCTCCTCCTCCTCCTCTGAGAAGATGGCCCAGGCCGGCGCCTTCCTAACGCCCACCCCAGCGCCCAGCAGACGTCCGTGCTCGGCGGGCCCTGGCCCGTCTGACGCGCCGCCCGCCTCCATCCTTGGACGCCTCTGGAGGTCCCTCGGCGGCCGTCCAAGGGGCCCTCGGAGGCCTCCAGAGGTCTACAAGCTGTGAAAGAACAGCCCACCCTCGAGCCTCGCGGCCTCGCAGAGAGGAGCGCCAGACCGTGCCTCTCCATCGAGGCAAGAAACCAGGAGTTCCGAAGCCGTAACTTTCTGACGACGCGGGACCCCAGAGGTCTTCACCCCTTCCCCGAGACCGCTGGGGCCCAGCAGCGGCCCTCGGGGAGCCAACGCATGCCAACAAAAACATTCCGCAGCGGCGCGGCGGAGGGGGGGGGGGGCGTCTGGGCTTCTCCGTGACGGTCACCTCCTGCTCCGTCGCCAGGAGCTCCCTGTAGGTCTGCCGGAGGTACCGCTCGTGGGCGACCTGCTGCGCGACCGTCTGCATCATCCCGAGGCGCGGGAGGGCAGCTGCTGCGCGGCGTGCGGGCTTCAGGGCGGCTGCTGGGCGGGGGCGGGCGCCTGGACTTGAGGCACGGCGCGGGCGAGGGGGCGAGCGAGCGCACTTGCAGCCGGAGGGCAGCAGCAGTCCAAGAGCGCCGAGCCCAGACCCCCGACGTCGTGATTTCTGCTCGCGACGTGGCCGCCCAGCGTTTTTTGGTATGTTTTTTCCCCGTCTCGAATCGTTCAGTGACGGTCCCAGGGCCCGGTGCGGGCCCCCAGGGGCCGAAAACTGACAAAAACCTGCCGCTCGCTGTGAGTTGTTTTACGACGCGAGGGGATGTGGAAGTAGTGGGCGCACGCCGCTGGCCAAGCAGACGCAGCGTTGGCCTCTCTAGGGCATAGGGCCTAAGGCCCCGAGCCTGCAGCCCCACCCCTTCAAATGGGTCCGCGGAGCAGCTAGAGCAGAAAGAGCAGGAGGAGGAGTCCCAACCTGGCTGTTCTGGATCATTGGGATGCGGAACGAAGCCGGAGAGGAGGAGGGGGAGGAGGAGGAGGAGGAGGAGGAGGAGGAGGAGGAGGAGGAGGAGGAGGAGGAGGGAGGAGGGGAGGAGGAGGAGGAGGAGGAGGAGGAGGAGGAGGAGGAGGAGGAGTGAGGAGGAGGAGGAGGAGGAGGAGGAGGAGGAGGAGGGAGGAGAGGAGGAGGACGAGGGGGAAGCGGAGGGGGAGGAGGAGGAGGAGGAGGAGGAGGAGGAGGAGGAGGAGGAGGAGGAGGAGGAGATGGAGGAGGGGGAAGAAGAGGAGGAGGGGAGGATGAGGAGGAGGAGGGGTAGGACGAGGAGGTGGAGGAGGACGGGGAGGGCACGTAGCGTGAGGGCTGCGGGGAAGGAGCAATATCAGCAGGACGGAAAAGAAGGATGCAGCCACAGGCGCGCCAGTCCATCCAAAGAGACGCCGGCGCACGAACTTTGCAGGCGGGGGAACCTCGTAACGATCGAGCAATGGACCACGGGAAAAGAAGCCCGACAGAATATGACAGAGCGGCGTGCCGGTGCCGAACGGCCAGATGGGCGGGAAGGCAGGAGGAGGGATAGTAGGAGGTGGATGTGGAAATGGGGATTGTAGGGGAAGGAGGGGGGTTATGGGGAGAAGAGGAGCGGGAGGAGAAGCGCAGGGGAGTGCTATGGGGGGGGTCAGCAGGGGCGGAGCCTCCACGAGGGTGGGAAAGCCTGGCGGGACTGGAGAGAAGCCCGTGCGACCGAGGATCGCAGGCCAAGGCGGAGGAGCGGGGGGGGCGGGTGCAGCAGAGGGCGGAGACCGCGGAGGAGCCGGTAGAAGACGAGGGGGAGGTGGATGAAGCCGGTCGGTCGGTCGGTGGAGCCCGGGGGACCCCGGAGCAAAGTCGTGGTGTCTCTGCTCTGAAGGGGGGGGGAGGGCGAAGAGGAGAAGTAGGAGAGAGGAGGTGGGAGAAGGATCAGGCCGCCGGGGCTCTGCTGATCGACTCGGCTTGGATGTACATGCCCTTGGGTAGCATGTGGATGCAAGCCCCGAGCTCTCTGGCTCGCGAGGCTGCCTGAGCCGTGCCCTCCCGCAGTGTTTTTGCGTGTGGGCCGTCCCCGCCTTGCCCACCTCTGCTCCGAGAGGTCCCCCGAGGTTGTCGACCGCCTGTTTCGGATGGCTTCGCAGCGCGGGCTGTTTCCTGCGTGCCCTGGGTGGCCAGGCGGGCCCACAGAAGGCGCTCAACCTTGAGCGGTCGCGCCGGTGTCCCCGCCGCATCGCGGCGGCACGAACGGCACTGCCGTGCGGGCTCCGGCAGGGATCCAGACGGCGAGCATGGATCGGGCGTAGCTCCGTAATTAGATGCTGCGAGGGCACACTACATTAAGGCCAATCTGGCTGCTACTGCTACTCCTCGACTTCAGCTTCCCTTGCATCGAAACCAAACTCGGTCTGCGATTGGTTGCAACATAGGTTGCGCCCTCTCAAGTTGCGCCATTGGTTGTGCCCTAGGTGCCTCATGAGTTGCGCCATTGGTTGCACCATATCTGCCATAAAATGCCCCATGCGATGCGCCACGCGTTGAACCATAGGTTGAGCCCTTGGCCGCCCAAATGTAAGGAGGCTGGTCAAATTATTGGTTGTGCCATCGGCCGCCATGGGTACCGCCACAGGTTGCACCATGGGGTGCGCCCTCGGCCGCCGAAATTTCTCAACGGCCCGAGACTGGTTGTGCCATATGCTGCGTCACTGGTTTAGGTGCGCGGTGGGCTGCACCGTGGGTGGAGCTATCTGTTGCGCCACGGGCCATGGGTGCGCAATAGGTTGCGCCATGCGCAACAGGTTGCGCCCTCAACAGGCGAAACTCAAGAGTCTGATAGAGGCGGCCAACAGTTCAGCATCGTCAGTCAATGAGGCAGCCAGCGAATCAGCAAAACAGTCTAGTCAGGTACTTCACGAAACGAATATATCATCTTAGTGCCGTTGACATGCATTTGTTGGGGAATTGATGTCAGAGTAAGGGGGCCGAACCGTCATTCACTGTCCCTGACTGCGTGGCTGTAATGGGATTCCGCGATGCGGGTTATTGTTGTTGCGTGTTGTGTGTTGTGTGTTGTTTGTTGTTGTTGGTGTTGCTGTTGCTGTTGCTGTTGTTGTTGTTGTTGCTGCTGCTGTTGTTGTAATCGTTTGGCATTGTCCCCCCGCGACCCGGCCCGCGACCCACCCGCGACCCATTCCGCGACCCGCCCGCGACCCCCCCCCCCGCGACGTGCCTGCGACGTGCCCGCACCCGCGACCCACCCGCGACCCACCCAGCGACCTACCCATATTGCTTTCACGAGAAATCGGCGCCTGCGGCGGGCCCGTTGTAGAAAATTGTAAAATTTAGCCGCCTGCGGCGAACTTCTTCAGAGCCTCGCAGACTGCAAACGTGTCCGCCGCCCCCTTACTCTTATCCGCAACTGCGGGGTGCTACGTAGTTTGGCCATAAAAGCAAAACGTGGCGCGACCACTTACATGCAGGAAGAGATGACTTACGTATGAGGGCAGGCAGGGGGAATGAGGACCGGAAGGAGGAGGCCAGACAGGGGGAATGGGGACCAGCAGAAACCATAGGGAGAGGGGGAGAAGCATATTGAGAACAATCATGGCTAGCAAGATCAGGGGCAGAAGAAGGAGGATACTAGTAATTTACTAACGATGATGAGAAAGGTCATGTAATGGCATAGGATGGAGGACGAGGAGGACTCGGGGAGGAGGAGGAGGGTCATTAGGAGAATACCCCAAGAGGAGGAGGAGGAGGAGGAGGAGGAGGAGGAGGAGGAGGAGGAGGACAAGGATGACGATGAGATGATGAGAGGGAGGACATGGCGGGTAAGGTGGAGGCGGAGGAGAAGGAGGCGGAAAAGGACAAGGAGAAGAGGAAGGCCGGGGAGGGGAGCATCGGTCAGTCGTACACCAGCTGCAGGGTCGCGCTGCAGCTCGCGTTGCTCACCGCGCGCAGCCAATACGCCTCGAACTCCGCGGGGAACGACAGCCGTGCGCCCTCGCCCGGCGGCACGGCCAGGAGGCGCCACGCGTGCCACGAACCTGGGCACACCGACAAATACTTGCCGACACCCCATACCCCCGACGTCATGAATTTTTCATGACGTCGACCCCCAGCGGTCTGGACCCATTCCCCAGGACCGGTTTTTCGTCCTGAGTCGCTTTTTGACGGCCCTGAGGGCCGGTGAGGGCCCCCAGAGGCCAAAAATGATGAAAAACCTCCCGTCGTGATTTTTTCATAACTCGAGGGGGTCGTGGACCGCTACGCCCCGGCCCTCTCCCGGCGCGCGCTCGGGGCAGGATATATCGCGGGAGGCGCGCCCCGCCGTGGCGCCGAGGGCCTCCCAGGGAGGCCCAGGCCGGCCAAGAGCGGGGCCGGGGGCAGCAGCATCTGGGAGGGTCTCGAAGTATACCTCGTCGTCTGGCTGGCCGCAGAGCCCCAGACCTCCTCGAGTTATGAAAAAAATCACGACGGGAGGTTTTTCGTAATCTTTGGCCTCTGGGGGCCCTTACCGGCCCTCGGGACCGTCAAAAAACGACTCAGGACGAAGAACCTGTCCCGGGGAAAGGGTCCAGACCGCTGGGGGTCGACGTCATGAAAAATTCATGACGTCGGGGGTCTGGGGCCCCAGCTTCCCTGGCTGTGGGGCGCCGGAACGCCTAGAAGCCGAATTGCTTCGCTAATGCGGACGTCTCTGTGGCAGACCCGACGACGTGGTCTCTATAGGTCGAGCCCTCCGAATGTTGGTACCTCTTTTGGCATGAAACGAGCGGGTCCTGAGGGAAGCGGGTCCTGGACCCCGGGGCCTTCCCCCAGGGCCAGCTCTTCCTCCTGAGTCGTGTTCTGACGTCGTTTTCTGGCGGCCCCCGGGCCCAGGGAGGGCCCCAGGAGGCCAAATACGGCGATAAACACATGACCCGCTTCCTTCAGCACCCCTTCCCTTCATGGCGACTGTTCCTTCGGGGATGCACTGACCAGGGTCACTGCAAACCCAGTCAGTCAGGGTTTGCAGAATCCTGCGAGATTCTGCAGGATCCTGCAAAATCATGCGCGCAAGCCCGGGTCAATGCACCCCTGGCCCTGCAAGATCCTGCAAAACCAGGCACTCTGGCGACCCGCGGGGGAGGAGGAGGAGGAGGAGGAGGAGGAGGAGGAGGAGGAGGAGGAGGAGGAGGAGGAGGAGGAGGAGGGGAGGAGGAGGAGGAGGAGGTGGAGGAGGAGGAGGAGGAGAGGAGGAGAGAGAGAGGAGGAGGAGGAGGAGGAGGAGGGCGGAGGGGGAGGGGGAGGAGGAGGGAGGAGGAGGAGGAGGAGGAGGAGGAGGTGGAGGAGGACAAGAAGGAGGAGGACGGGTCGTCTAAGCCCTTCGGAGAAACCCTCCACTCAAGGCTTCCGATTCCTCCTCTCAGAGCCCGTGCCGGTGGCGTCCACCTCCAACCGGAAGCCCACGACGTGCGCCTCGGAGTGCGACGCGGACAGCCCGCGCTGCGCGAAGCCCGCGAGCAGGTACGGGTCCGAGGGGACGCCGGCAGCCACGGGCCGGGCGCTGCCAGGGGTGCCCCTGACCCAAATGTGTCCCCAGCTTCTCGCTCCAAGTTTTGAAGAGGTCTACTACACCAGAGAAAAAACCCAACCAATGGATGGAAACAGATTTTTCCAGTGCGAGGCCCCCAGAGCTCCAGACCCCTTCCCCGGGCGAAGTTTTTCGCACCATATTTATTTGTGATGGTCTCGGGGTCCGGGAACGGGCGCTGGAAGCCGAAACCGAAACAAGACGCCGCGATGGACAAACCATTTTTTTTCCAGCACGGCACCCCAACAAAGGTGAAGAGGGGGGTCGAGGAGTAATTCGGAGGTTGGCTATAAGGGGCCATGGGGAGAGAGCATGGCCATGCACACCGTAGCGCATTGAGCCTGTTTTTTTTAGACTCTGGCAAGCTTACTTGGCATGGACGGGGGGTGGGGGGGGGGCTGAGCCTGAAGCAAGCCGCAAACGACTTGCACGTTCGGGGGGGCGCGGAAATCACGCAAGTCGAAAGGCACTTGCACGCTAGCATTCGCTTGAAGAGGGGCGAGGGGGGGGGGGGGGGGCGAACGCCATGCAAGTAAACTTGCCTACATCCAAAAAAAACAGGCGCATTCATTTCTCACAAAGAGGATCGTGGCCGTCTGGACCACAGTCAGCTTTGATCGGCGGCCAGCCCCGGAGGAAGTGAGAAGGAAACCCCGGCCTCCTGAGAAGCTTCCTTAGCCTCCCCGAGCCTGTTTTTTTTGATTCAGGCAAGTTTACCCTCTTCCAGCGAATACTAGCGTGCAAGTGCCTTTCGACTTGCGTGATTTCCACGCCCCCCCCGGGCTTGCTTCAGGCTCAGCCCCCCCCCGTCCACGCAAGTAAACTTGCCAGAGTCTAAAAAAAAACAGGCTCCCCCGAAGACACGGCCAACCTCTCAGAAGGCCAGAGGGCTTCTGGGAAGTCCCGCCGCCTTCTGCGAGGGCCGTCTCTTTCTCTAGAAGAAGAAAAAACATAAACTTTTGGCGCTCCGCGCGGACTTCTTGGATCTGCGCCGGACCCCCCCTCCCTGGCGCGCCCGGGGCGGCGCCGGAGGCGCCGCCAGGGGGGCCCAGGCGCGGATCCAAGAGATCCGCGCAGAGCGCCAAAAGCTTATGTTTACACTTGTGGCGTTTTCTGTTGCTTCGACCCTCACGGCCCCCCCCCCCCCGCTCGCCGCCGAGCGAGCGCGGCCCCCGAAGCACATCGTGAGGGGGGTCTTGGGCGAGGCGGCTGCGCCGGATCGCCTCGCCGCGCCGGGCGGTCTCGGGGGGGGCGGCGGCCTTGGGCTCCCTGCCTCCCCCCCCCCCCCGTGTGTGGCACGCCCGGCGCTCTCCGACGCGGCGGGGAGAGCATGCGACAGCGCAGGGCCAGCACTGCCGGAGCCCCCCCCCATGCAGGGAAGCCCGGAGAGGCCCCCAGGAGGCCCCCAGGAGGCCCCCGGGAGGCCCCCAGGAGGCCTCCCAAGAGACTCCTCACCGGAGGCCCCCGAAAGCCTTCCCAAGAGGCCCGAAGAAGCATCCCCGAGGACTTTGGCCCTCGTCGGCGTCGTCGCCGCCCCCGTTGTCGTCGCCGCCCCCCTTCAGGGTCGGCGGCACCGGCCGTAAGGCCTTCGCAATCACGACCAGAGCCCCGGACCCGATCCCTCTGCGCCACTTCTCGAGCCATACATCGGTCGGCGAGGGCCCCGGGGGCCCGAAACACCCGGCTGGAGGACGCTCGCGCCGCGCCAAGATCAGATGCGCTCTCAGAGTGCTCCTCTCTTGGGGGGAGCCAACATGCACCGACGCCGCTGCTCTCCAGACCTCTCCCCGGGTGCGTTGTGGCTCGAATTCCGACGCGAATCCAACGGTGGCGACGAAGGCCTCCGGTGAGGCCGAACAAATTAAAAGGAACACGAGCGAGGGATAGCGGGATGGGTACCCTTTCTCATCAGTTTTTTCTCACGGCTCTTCAAAAGCCCTCTACAGTCGGCGGCCAGCCTGGTGGGGAAGTGAGAAGGAGAAGGTCTTCTCAGAAGGCTCGGAAGACCCCCCAGCCTTTTGAAAACTTTCTCGAGCCTTCCCCGAAGACGAAGCAAACCTCTCAGAAGGCCGGAAGGCTTCTGGGAAGCCCCGCCGCCTTCTGCAAGGACCTTCTCCTTCTCACTGCCCCCCCTCGCTCGCCGCTGTCAGTTGTCGCTCCCCCTCAGAGTGGCGGGCGCCGATGCGAACCCATGCCTCCGACCGGCTGTTTTGCTTCGATCCCCGGTTCTTTCCTCGATTCTGGCGTCCATGGGGGGCCTGACCACCTACCAGACCACCCCAACCCAACCCGAAGACCCGATTTTCGGGTTTGGGGCGGGGGGTACGGGCTTCACATGTGTTTTTTCCTATGTTCCCCGCCCCCCCCCCTGGAAATGTAAGGCAAATCGGGGCCTTCGGAGTGGTTTGGTGGATGGTGAGGGCCCGTCTGGGGCCCCAGGTGGCCGTTTCATGGATCGCATGACCGCTCTGCTGGAGGATCGATCGGTTCGATCTTCATTACCTCGGCGGTGGACAAACCTCCCTTTAACCCTTTAGTGAAACGGCCTAGGACCGAAACCGACGGACCTGGACCCGCAAAAACAACGGCCGCGACGCCCCCCCGCGAACCGAGACTGGCCGATTCACGAATCGACGCGCCAGGAGAGGAGGCCCATCGACCTCCGACTGCCTCCGCCATGCATCAGGGATCACATGCCTCGTGGACAACGTGCAAGAGCGCTCTGGTTCCACCCCCCAATCACTGAAGGGGAACTGGAACACACAAATAAATACACACAAATAAAAATTCCCCCCTATATTTTCCCATATTTTCTGGGTTTCTGTCTTCCCCACCACTTCCCATATTTTCCCATATTTTCTGGGGAATTGACGATTAATTGTGTCTGTGTGTTTCTTTTCCTCCTGAGCCACGCCGAGCGCCTCTCCTCGGAGAGCCTTGCGCTGCTGGGCCGGCGGCGCCCCCGGGGACAGCGCCCCGCCACGGGCGAGCGCAGCCAGGGCCCGCCGGCGCCCCGGGGGCGGCCCAGCCTCGGGAGCCGCGGGGCTTAAGAGAGGCGGGGCCGAGGCGCCCCCCCCGCGCCTGCGGCGAACGGGGGCACGCGATTGAAAAACAATGGGGGCACGCGATTGGAAAGCAAGGGGGGCGAAACGATAGACGACAAGAATCGCGGGGGGGGGGCGGGCAGGACACGAATAAGACCGCGCGCTCGCGGCGACGCTCGAGGGCGCTCGGGGCCGCGCGCGGCCGTTCGAAGGCGCCTGGCGCGCGCGCGGTGAGGTCGGGGGCTTGGGATCAGGAGGGCACCGGCCATACACCAGCACCGAACCTGGTCAGGATCACCCTGGGCCCAGGATCGGTGTATGCGCCCTCCTGGCCAGGATCGCTGTTGGTGTAAAGTTGGTGCCCTTCGATGGGAGCCGACAGAAAAAAACACTGAGCCGAGGCCCCCCCCCCAGAGCCTGCGGTTAGGTCGGGGGTGTCCTCCTACAGGCCTACGGTCGGACCTGGGATTGTGTTGTTCCCGTCGTTCTTGAAGACCACATCCCAGACAGCATCTCGAGCACCCAGAAAAGTATTGAAGCAGTGTCTGCCCGACACGCTCGAGAAGTGTCTAACGAGTATCGCCTCCCAGGGCCCGACACGTGAACACCCTCCAGCAAAAGGACGGGGCCGAGGCGCCCCCCAACCACCTCTACAGTTAGGTCGGGCATGTCCACCTACAGGCTGAGAACAAATATTCCAAAATGCTCAAAAAGAGCGCCAAACAGAGTCGAAACACCGTCCCCATATTATTTGTTGGACTACTTTTGGACACTCCAGCTGTCGAGGGACACGCCCGACTTCACTCTATAGACTGGGCACCCCAGGGATCAAAGCACGCGATGACACGTCGTCACCTTTTTGCCACGTTCCGTTGGGGACTTGGGATCGGCGGTGGACAAACCTCCCTTTAGTAAACCTCCCCTTAATGAAAACGGCCTGGGACCGAAACCGACGGACCTGGACCCGCAAAAATGACGGCCGCGACGCCCTCTCGCGAACCGAAAACGGCCAATTCACTAATCGACGTGTCAGGGTAGGAGGTCTGTCCACCCCCGATGGGAGCCCACAGAAGAAAGGCGGCCCCCTCAGCGACCCCCCGAGCCTGCGGTCGGACCCGGGACAGAAGAGCATATCCCTCAAGGACACGAGGCCCTCTGCTGGCCCAGACACTCCCGACCCTCAGATGCCTCGAGGGTGCCCTCCCCCAGGGTGGACGAGAACATCCAGCGAGCACGGAGAACTCTGGGGCACCCTCCCCGAAGCGGCCTCGATTCTTTTGATAGCTCGGTCCGGCCGTCGCCGGGGGAGGCGCCCGTGCATCTCGAGGAAGGGCGCCCGGCGGCGGGGCGGCACCCAACTGCGTGCAGCAGACTTCGTAGCCCCCCGTTTGCCCATCCCACCCTTTCGTCCGGCCCGACCCTCGGGGTGGGGGGGCCCATCGGTTTCGGGGCCATGGCTCGGGCCTCAGGCGGCCGTCTGGGCGCTCTCGAAGAGGCGCAGCTGGTGGGAACCTCCCCCCCGTTTCGAGCAGGATGGAATGCGCGGACGAAAACCACTCCTGAGCCCATCCCCCCTAACGTTGCCCCTTAGGGGGGGGGGGGGGGCGAAAGGGTAGGATAGCCAAGGGCAGGGTAGAGCATCGGCTCCCGAAGCCGGCTTTCATGGCGCCTCCTGGCGCCGGGAGGCGCCCACGCTTCGAGAACTGGGCTTGGCGGCGGGAAGCCAGCTGCACGCAGCAGATCTCGCGGCCCCCCATTTCCCTACCCGTCAGGCCCCACCCTCAAGGGGGGGGGGGGCGGCCCACTGGCTTTCGGGCCACGACTCGGGCCTCCGGCGGCCGCTCGGGCGCTCTCGGCGAGGCGCGGCTGATGGGAACCACCGCGGGGTGGTCTGTCCAACGTGTTCGAAATCGAAGGCCCTCGATTTCGAACACGTTGGACAGAGCATGAGGAGGAGGAGGAGGAGGAGGCGGAGGAGGAGGAGGAGGAGGAGGAGCAGGAGGAGGAGGAGGAGGAGGAGTAGGAGGAGGAGGAGGAGGAGGCGGAGGAGGAGGAGCAGGAGGAGGAGGAGGAGCAGGAGGAGGAGGAGGAGGAGGAGGAGGAGGAGGAGGAGGAGGAGCAGGAGCCACTCCTGAGCCCATCCCATATCCCACCGCGGCTTCTCGTCACGACGACTCCGGCGTGGGTCTCCGACGCCGCGGGGAGCTCTTTCCACCGCGAGCGACCGGCCGCCTCCGGCACGCCAGATCGTTACACATTGGCCGACTCTGGGTCGCTTTCAGCATTGGAGCCTGTTTTTTCTTGACTCTGGCAAGTTTACTTGCATGGACGGGGGGGGGGGCTGAGCCTGAAGCCAGCCGCAAACGACTTGCACGTTCGGGGGGGCGCGGAAATCACGCAAGTCGAAGTAAACTTGCCTGAATCCAAAAAAACAGGCTCTTGAACGCTGGCGGCGGCGGCGGCGGCGTCGCCGCCGGTCGACCCGACGCGACCCTGCCGTAGACGAAGACGGCCCCCCAGCCGGCGAGGCCAGCCAGCCTCGTGCGACGAGCCTTCGCGCAGTGCGCGAGGACAACGCAAGGCCACCCCTGCCTGTCAGGATCGCCCCCGATCCAGACTTTGGAGCCGCGGTAAAATCTTACGGGTGAGTTGTGGACATCGTTTTTGTCACAGGTCCGGGGGGGCTCCCCCCACTGAAAAATCTGAACCCTGGTACAGATGGAGAAAGGTTTTCGTTCTTATGCACGCGCACGCTCGAAACTAGCGAACGCTTTCATGACATAGCTCCAACTAAACAATATGTTCCGTCTTTATGTTGTGTTTGCTTTCTCTCGGACTTTCTTTCGCTGTCCCACTGCAAAACAAAATCAAACCAGAACGGTCCACGGAACCGCCAAAATACAGTTTATCCCAAGCCCTGGCTCATGCAAACGTGCTTGACGCATGAGGACATGCTAATACTATGTTGCGCCATCTTGTACCATATACCGCTACCCCACAGGCATGTCCAGAACTCGCCCCGCCACCGAGAACATACGATAACATGTGTGAGCGCGTGCGTCACCCCTTCGAAGCCACACACACACACACATATACGGTGGGGGCATCAGATGAGGAACCCTGAGATAAGGAATCCGGGGTCTGGAAGCCAGCGGAACTCCAATCGTGGATCGGCCATGGATATCACCCCCGCCCTCGTTGGATAAGAGATCCTCCAGGGCCTGGCGCCTCCTGGGACTGCTCCTCAACAGACCCAGACCCCAGACGTCACGTTTTTTCTTGACGTCGACCCCCCGCAGTCTGGACCCATTCCCCGGGACCGGTTTTTCGTCCTGAGTCGTTTTTAACGGTCCCGAGGGCCCCCAGGGGCCCAAAACAAAGAAAAACTCTCCCGTCGTGATTTTTTCATGACGCGAGGGGGTCTGGGAACGCCCCCACCGTGGCACGAGCGCGCCCTTTGCAGAGGCGCGCCCTTCGCCCCCGGCCGCCGCCAGAGGTCGTCGAGGTCCCCCGCCCACACCGCGGCCCCGCCGTCCGCGCTGCGCACGACGTGCGCGCCCGCGGGGGCGCCGGGCTGCAGGCCGGACACGACCAGGAGGCCTCGGGGCGGACGGGGCGGCCAGGAGCGCAGATCGCCTCGGCTGCCCCGGTGCGCACCGCGCAGCACGCAGCGTATCGATGCGGGGCTCACCACGCAGACTGAGCACGTACGCTTTGAGCACACGGACGTCTGGAACACGGCACGTGTTGCGTCTCCAAACGTGCGCATCAGAGCAGCGAAGCAGACCACGGGTGGGAAGGGGGGGAGGGGGGCGGCAATTCAGCTCACGGGGGGTCGCCGTTCAGCTCGGCGAGGGGATGGGCAGGGATTCGAGGCCTCCCAGATTGGGTCGGAGCAACTGGTCTCGGAGAATCGCGCCGCATCGTGGATGCATCGGCGACGTCGGCGATGAATGGGCGACGTCGGCGCAGAGAAAGCCGGGCTCCACATCGAGTGAGCTGGAACAGGCCTTCTCAGAAAGCTCGGAAGGCCTCGGGCCTCCTGAGAATTTGTCTTCTAAGCCTTCTCCGAGGACAGCGAAGGCTTCTCAGAAGGCGCGAGGGCTTCTGAGAAGCCCCGCCGCCTTCCGAAAAGGCCTGCCGAAAAGCAAATTTCTCGGTCGCCTCCTTGCGCCAGAGGCGCCAATGTACCAATACCCCCTCGGGCCATGGAAACATACCGACGGGATGCTTCCCGCTATTTTCGGCCTCTTGAGCCACTGCTGGGGAATGAGTCCAAACCGCTGGGTGGCTATGAGGGTCAAAGATAGGAAGGGACCGGCTCCGGGGGAACCGGATATACATCGCCGATTGCTCGGCGACAGGCCCCCGATAGCGAATCCGCATGCTCCTTGGGCGGGGAAGGCTATCAGACCCCTATCGGCGATGAATGGGCGATTGAGGGTTGACGCATCCCCCCCAGAGCATATCCCCTCTATCGTTGCCCTTCCAATGGTTAGCAAATCAGCTTACGTAACTAATTTCTCTTGCGCCTTCCCCTGAGATCCTGGCGTCGATTTTTCCACAACTGGCGATTTGGCCTTGTGTTGGACCCCCGGATCCTCGCAGATCGATCCGGCTCGAACAACGCAACAGAAAGACGGGTCGTAGGGCTCTGGTCGCGATTTTTCGCGATGTTGGATGTTTCGCAATAACGGATCTCAGGACATGGCGCCAGAGGCGCCAGAGCATCGAGGAGTGCGGCCGCCTGCGGGGCCGAAGCCAGCTGCATGCAGCAGATTCCGTGCCTCCCCCTTCCCCTAACCCTCTCGCGTCGTCCGACCCGAGAGGCCTCGGTACCCAGCGAAGTCGTGGATCAGGAACGGGTGGGAGGCGATGCGTCGGAGGAGCAGAGCACGGCATGAGCACAAGCTGTCGGAGGCCCGCGCGGACTTCCCGCAACGGCGCCGGGGGGCCTGGCGGCGCCTCCGGCGAGGCTCCCGGCGCGCGGAGGCGGCGCCAGAGGGGGGGGGGGCCCGGGGGCGGATCCGAGAAGGCCGCGCGCAGCTCCGAAAACGTATGCCGATGCAGCATCTTCTCCTTCGAGATGGGCCGGATCAGGCCGAAGCCCCCGGCGTTCTGGGCGGGCAGCTCGTAGAACGTGCCGTCCAGGTGGAAGATGCCAGGGAACCCCAGGAGCGGCAGGGTTACAGACTCTCGGGGGCCCGCGAGGATTCTCTGGGGCCACGCTGGTACCCCCCGCGCACCCCCCCTCGCTCTCCGCCCCTCCCCTGGTCACGTCACGATTCGGGCTGGCGCAGTCTGGGAAAGAACCATCCAAGAGGCAGTCCCAGACAATGCTGGCGCGAGTGACGTGACCGGTCCCCTCCCCCTCTCCCTCCCTCCCCCCCCCGGTCACGCCCGTTATCGCCAAGGGAGGCAAACACTGTGTGGGCGGGGGGGGTGGCGCCCAGTGCTGGCCAAGAGAGTCCGCGCGGACCTCCGAAAGGTCCACAGTCGGGATACAAAGGCCACCTTGGTGTTGCAGGGCCGACCCCCCAACTAAGATTATGTTGCTCCCATCGTACTTAAGGACCACATCCAAGAAACAATTTCGAGCACCTGGAAAAGTGTCGAAAGAGTGTCGACACAGTGTCGAAACAGTGTCGGGCGAGTGTGTCCCAGGGCCCGACACGTGAAAACCCTTGAGCGTTTGACTATTTTTCTGGTGCTCGGAATGCTTTCTGGTGATCAAGGCTAAAGTAGGTTGGAACATCATAAACTAAGATCGACTCTTTGTCCACGCCAAGACGAGAACACTGCATAAACAGGAGGTTCGCGTGTGCCTCAGGAGAATCCCGAATGCATTTTCACTCGAGTGCCGCTCTTTGGCTCTCTCTCCAGGGGTGCCTTCGGCCCATGTTGAATCTTGATGGTCCCAGGGCCCGCTAACAGGAACAAGAGGCCGCAATCGAGGCAAACGGCCAGGACTACTGGCCAAGACCGACAAACGAACATACCGCCAGAGATCTCGGAAGCAGGCTCGACTGCATGTCCACGCCGCTCTTCGGTTCCCTCGAGGTCCCTCTCCGTGACCACCTCTCGGCACATGCGCGACGGGCCCACGGGCGAGACAGCACCGCCAGCGCCAGCCGCCGCGGGCAGCCGCCAGCGCCGGCCGTCGTCGTCGATGTGGAGCCAGGAGGCGCCTCAGCACGGAAAGCGGGTGGGTCCTGGACCCCCTTGGCCTCCACCAGGGACCAGCTGTTCATCGCGAGCCGCTTTCGGACTCCCCCGGGGCCCGTGGAAGGCCCGCAGAGCCTTGTATATACAAGACGGCGAAGGACCTCCAGGACCCGTTGCCTCAGGGCCCTGGCGACATCGCGAAACATCGCGACCCGAGCACTGGACCGCATCTTTTCTGCGGCACGGGCCGGATCGTTCGGCGAGTGTCCCGGGGGCCCGAAGCGAGGCCAAACCGCCCGCCGCGGCAGAAATGCGACGCCAGCGTGGGCGGGGGCCCCGTCTGGCTTGTGGGCGGGCGCCTCGGGGATCCCCTTACCCGGGTCGATCCACACCCGGGTCAGTCGGGCCTTGCAGGATCCTGCAAGCTCCTGCAGGATCCTGCAGGGCCCTGCGCGCCAGCCTGGGGCAACGCAGCCCTGGCTCCTGCAGGATCCTGCCAGGCCCGGTGCTCTGGCGCTGACCCCCGCTCGCGTGGACCCCCCGCCTCTCTTGGGCCCCCGGGCGCCGTCGTGCTCCGCGAGCCCGGCGGCGATGCGGAGCTTCCGCTGCAGCTGCGGCGACGTCCTCGCGATGCCGCTCGGCTCCAGGCGCAGGGCGGCGGCGGCGCCCGCGCCGCCCGCGGGCGCCGCGCCCTCGGCGAGGCGGAGCTCGTAGGCGCCCACTTGCCGGACGCCCTCGGGGCCGCCGTGGGCGGCGAACACGGCGAGCGAGTCCCAACGCGAATGCGCAGGGTCAGGGACGCTTGTCGGCGGCGCGCCCAGGGGGGGAAGCGAGAGAATAAGGGGCGGGCCTTCACGGAAGGCTCGGGAACCCTCAGGCCTTCCGAGAAACTTCCCGAGCCTTCCCCAAAGGCACAGGAAGCTTCTCAGAAGGTCGGAGGGCTTCTGAGAAGCCCTGCCGCCTTCCGAAAAGCCCTTCTCCTTCTCATTTCCCCCCTCGCTCGCCGACGATTCACGAGCGGCGAGCATATCTATCTCCATACTCGGGGATCTTCTGACCCGGGTCAATGCAGACCCAGGTCAGTCAGGTCTTGCAGGATCCTGCAGGATCCTGCACCCAAGCCCGGGTCAGCGCGAAGGATCCTGCAAGATCCTGCAGGATCCTGCGCGCAATCCCGGGTCAATGCGCCCCTGGCCCTGCAGGATCCTGCAAGATCGGGCGCTCTGGCCGACCCCGGTTTGCATTGACCCCCGTCTCAAGGCTCCCGCTGCTTTTCCCGGCGCCTCCTGGCACCGGGAGGCGCCCACGTATCGAGATTTAGGCCCCTCGGTGGGTCCGAAACCAGCTGCACGCAGCAGATTTCGTAACCTCCCCGTTCCCTATCCCCCCATTTCCTCCGACCCGACTGTCCCTCTGCAGGAGGAATATACAAAAGCAGTCAAAAAATAGTCAGGGGAGGATTTCTGGACCCTTTTTGAATATTTAAGGGTACTGTTTGACTATTTCCCTACCTAGGCTCTGCCTAGAAGGGTTCTTACTCGGTAGCTTAAAGGGCCGGGCAGTGGGGCCCGCCCCGGGCGGTTCCCCCAGTATCCGCCCCGCGGTTCCCCCAGTTACGTCCCTTTAGCTTAGCGTTGCTTATCTCATCTTAACTTAGCTTGTTTCATCTTAGCTTGGCTAAGGCCCATCTTAGCTCAGGTTTATCTTAGCTAGCTTACCTTCATCTTAGCTTCGCTGAGCTTTAGCATAGCAGAGCACAGCATAGCATAGCGTAGCATAGCATAACGCAGCATCGCATATCATCTAATAGCCCAGCATCGCATAGCATAGCGCAGCATTGCCAGTTTAGTTTTCTGTTCGGTTAAATAACATGGGTGTAATTCCCAACCTAGGCTCTGCCTAGAGGGTTAGCTTAGTTTAGCTTAGCTTAGCTTAGCGCAGCGCTGCATTAGCATAGCATAGTATCGCATACCATAGCCAAGCATAGCATAGCATATCATAGCATAGCATAGCGCAGCATATCATAGCATATCATAGCATAGCATAGCGCAGCTTAGCATAGCATATCATATAATAGCTTAGCATAGCACAGCGCAGCATGGCATATCATAGCATTGCTTAGCTTAGCATATCATAGCATAGCGCAGCATAGCATAGCATAGCATAGCATGGCATAGCACAGCGCAGCATAGCATGGCATGGCATAGCATGGCAACTAATGCTGCTTTCCTGGGGGCTCCAACTTCTAGGTAGGGTCGCACTGGGGTAATTCTTATTTTCCTCGATGCCGTCGCGGCCTGCCTTCCGGGGCGCGATTGCCGCGCGGAGGCCACCGCACGGACGCGCTCCGCGCGGGGGCCATCTGCAGGGACGCGCCCCCCTGTCCGCGGGGCAGCGGACCCCTGGGCCCGGCCCGCGCAGCTGCGGAGACGAATCGGGTGCTCGTCCACGAGCCTGCTTAGCGCTACTGTCGAGGGGTCCAGAAGGACACGCAAAGAAGTGCACACGAATCCCAGGATCCCCCCTATTTCCCCATATTTTCCGGGTGTCCGTCTCTTCCCCCCCACTTCCCACAGTTTCCCATCTTTTCCGCGGAGTCGACGATTAACCGTGTCTGTGTGTTTCTTTCCCTCCTGATAATAAGCAGCCGGACTCTATATACACCGACGCTCTCTCCGGCCCGACACTGATTCGCTGGATCCCGGGAAACGGACCAAAAAAGTATACACCAACCGCCCCGACGTCGACCCCCGACCCTCAAAAAGTCCTGGGATGGAAAAGCAGCCCGCCACTGGCAATGTACATGCTCTTGTTTCCGAGTTCAGTCGGGCCTGTCCCCCTACAGGGGGATGTTGGTCAAAACATGTTAAAACATAGTCCAAACAAATACTCCAACAAGTATTCCAAAATAGACAACAAATGGTCCCCAGAGTATTTTTTTTAAACTATGTTTGAATATTCCCCCTGTAGAGGGACAGGCCCGACTTAAGCTTAGCGTGCCGCGGCGGCGGCCCCAGCGACACGCCACTGCCTGCAAGCGACCGCTCCTCGGGGCGAGAGGCCTCGAAAGGCTCGGGAGAGGTTGGCGCCTGGGGACTGGGCCGTGGTTCGCTCGTCGCGCCAGAGCGTGAGACCTGGTGGCGCGACGCGCCACTGCAGAGTTCCTGACCGTGGAAGGAAGAGAAGACTTCGCAGAAGCATCAACTTCCCATAGCCGGCGCGGACTTCTTGGGCCGGCGCTGAGCTCCCCGCTCCCTGGCGGGCGCTCCGCGCGGGCTTCTCGGGCCGGCGCTGCGGAACCCCCACCGATCACAATGATACCGATAACAACGACCGCACCGATCACAACGACAACGGTAGCGACCACGGGAACGTTATCGTCGTGACCTCTATCGTTGACGCCGTTGCCACCGATCGTTATTATCTCTATCGTTGTGATCGATCCGCGATGGCCCTCCGAGAAAAAGCACCTCCCCGGCGCGTGGGGCGCGCCAGGGGCAGCGCGCCAGGCGCCGCCTGGGAGGGGGGGGCCAGCGCCGATCCGAGAACTGCGAGCGAACTCCCAAAGTTTGTGCTTCTGCTGCTTGCCTTCCTCGGATGCAGCAGCCCTCCCAGCACCTCGCCGTCGCCTCGGCGAGCCAGGCCCTCGAACAGCGGCGCTGCGAGGGGCAACGATCAGGGTGGCGGGAGGACCCGCCCAGGGCCCAGCGCCGATATATATATATATATATATATATATATATGTATATATATACACACACGCTGACACACACACACACATATATATATGTATATAACTATGTACACACATACATATACATATACATATATACATATATATACATATATATATGTATACATACATACATATATATATATATATATATATATATATCGGGGCGAGAGGCCCTCGACAGCGCACCCGCACGCTCCTGGGCGGCCGTTGAGCCATGGGGCTCCGCTCGGCGATCGGCAGCCAGCCCGTGGGGGAAGTGAGAGGCGGCGGGCCTCCTCAGACGAGGAGGAGGAGGAGGAGGAGGAGGAGGAGGAGGAGGAGGAGGCGGAGGGGGAGGGGGAGGGGGAGGAGGAGAAGAAGGAGGGGAAGGAGGAGGAGGAGGCGGAGGAAGAGGAGGGGGAAGAGGAGGAGAGGAGGAGTGTTCTAAGGCTTTCCCCAAAGGCGCAGCGAACTTCGCAGAGGGCCGGAGGGCCTCTGAGAAGCCCCGCCGCGGAGCCCCTGAGAAGCCCCGCCGCCTCCCGAGAAGGCCTTCTCCCTCTCACACTGCCCCCCCCTCGCTTGCCGCAGAGGGGCGACCAGTGGGCGAGTGGCGGTCGATGCGTCCCCCCCCATTGCGCGAAGCATCCCCCCCTTGATGGGCCTGTTTTCCACCACCACCACCACCATCAGTCGGAGGCGGAAGGAGGAGGACGAGGAGGAGGAGGAGGACGAAGAGGAGGAGGTGGAGGAGGAGGAGGTGGATGAGGAGGACCCCCTCTCCCTCCAACTTATGGTGGTGGTGGTGGTGGTGGTGGTGGTGGTGGTGGTGGTGGTGGTGGTGGTGGTGGAAAACAAGCTCATCACCCCTATCGCTGCCCCCGACGCTGGCTCCGAGCCTCGAGCGTCCGTCTGCCGGTAGGCGAACTGGACCGTCACGCCGACGGCGGCGCGGTCCAGGCGGGCCCGGACCCAGGCGCCCCGCCCGCGCAGGGCCTGCCAGCGGTAGGCCCCCGCGGGCACCCGCAGCGCCTCCAGCTCGGCCCAGGTGCCGTCGCCGGCGCGGTCGACCTGCAGCGGGGGCGGCAAGAAACGGTCCGCATCCGCGGCCTCGCGGGCCCGGGCCCCTGGGCCGCGACCCGGCAGGTGCGGAACCCTTCTGCGCGGATGCCCCGCGCAGAAGGTGTTCCGTGCGGCCGCGCACGCGCGGGATCGCGCCTGGGAGTGCCGACCGCGAGGGCGGCGGATGCGGACACGTGCGCCGCCTCGTGGCCTGCAGCGTGAAGGTGCGCGCCTCGGCGTCGCCGTGCGCCACGTGGACGCCGCGGAGGTCGTATCCCGAGAACAGGAAAGGGTCGCTCGCCTGGCCTGCGGGCACGCTCTCGTTGAGCCACACCGCGCCCCGGCCGAGCGGCGGCCCGAGTTGGTCCAACTGCTGCGGGGCCGCAAACCTCGGCGACTCCGAGGGGTGTGGTTTGCAAAGGGTGCGGTTTACAACCCGTGCCTGGGGGGGGCGGGCGGGGACCTCGACAGAGATCTCTGCCGCGCCCCGACGAGGTCTCACCGCGCAAGTCTTTGGCGCAACGTGGTGACCCCTAAGCCCGAACGGCGCAGATCACAAACCACACCCCGGCGTAACTACACCCATCGAATCTCGCCGAAAACCAAAGGTTGGAATGCGACCTCTCTGGGGCCGGGATCGAGTCTTTCGCGCGGCGCTTGTTCAGGAATGCCTTTCGCGCCACGTCATCGCAGCCGAAGACGAGCCACTCCCGCCAGCGAGCGAAATCCGCGCAAACCTTCAGGTACGTGGAGATTGGCAAGACGCCCGCGGATGCGCGCGCAGCGAAGGTTGGCGGGAAACGCCACAAGGTGCCGTGCATGGTCATGAGGAACGAGGCCTCACCGACCTCGCGGATTCGGGGCCACTCTGTGTTCCAACCGTGCGCGCCGTCGTAGGTGTGGCTTGCCTTGGGCAGCCTGTAGGTGGACCAGCGGGAGCTGTCGAGCACCATGAGCAGCAGCGAGCGGTGGTCCCAGCCGATGGTCCAGATCGGGTCCGCCTGCGCGCTGGGGCTGCCGTAGATGCCGCCCGGCCCCGTGACCTCGGTGAACTGGTTGCGGCGCACAACCTTCCACGCGCTGCCGTCCCACTCGGCGAGGCAGCCAGAGGGCACGTCGGGGCGCCGCTGGGCCTCCCTGCCCGTCTCCCCGTTGTTCGCGTAGACCAGCCGCCCCTGGCCCGAGTAGAGCCCCTTGCCGTGGTAGCCCGGCAGCCCCGCGAGCCTCCTGTCGCCGCCGCCGCGCCCTCCCCGCGGGGAACATATCCAAACCCATGGCCTCGCGGGCCGGGCCCCTGGGCCGCGACCCCACGAATTACGGGGCGTTTGCTCGCGGATGCTTTGCGCGGAGGGTATCCATGCGACCGCGTAGCCGGGGTAGGGCTGTCGACTCCCCCCCAAGAGAAGCAGTGAACCAATCATCTGTTCGGCGACCTCATTGACGGAACAGTGGCCCACCACTGATGGAAACTGGTTATTTCTCCGCGGCACCCCGCCGCACAACAACGACGGCGAGGACGACGACTACGATTACGACTTCGACAGCGATACGACCGTCCATATTGCAACGCTATAATGCAATCCTCTTTGGAGGAAGAAGTGGAGGAGGAGGAGGAGGAGGAGGAGGAGGAGGAGGAGGAGGAGGAGGAGGAGGAGGAGGGGGAGGAGGAGGGGGAGGAAGAGGAGGAGGAGGAGGAGGAGGAGGAGGAGGAGGAGGAGGAGGGGGGGAGGAGGAGGAGGAGGAGGAGGAGGAGGAGGAGGAGGAGGAGAAGAGGAAGAACAGGAGGGGAGAAGGGGGAGGAGGAGGAGGAGAGGAGGAGGAGGAGGAGGAGGAGGAGGAGGAGTGAGGAGGAGTGAGTGAGTGAGGAGTGAGTGAGTGAGTGATGAGTGAGTGAGTGAGTGAGTGAGTGAGTGAGTGGAGTGAGTGAGTGAGTGAGTGAGTGAGTGAGTGAGTGAGTGAGTAAGCGAGTGAGTGAGTGAGTGAGTAAGCGAGTGAGTGAGTGAGTGAATGAAAGAGTGAGTGAGTGAGGAGCCGGAGAAGGAGGAGGAGGGGGAGAAGGAGGAGGAGGAGGAGGAGAAGGAGGAGGAGGAGCAGGGAGGGAGGGAGGGAGGGAGGGAGTGAGTGAGTGAGTGAGTGAGTGAGTGAGTGAGCGAGTGAGTGAGTGAGTGAGTGAGTGAGTGAGTGAGTGAGTGAGGAGGAAGAGGAGGAGGACGAGAAGCGGCAGCGTCCGAAGACTCCATTGCCGTCAGTGCCTCAGTGCCTCAGTGCCTCAGGAGGAGGAGGAGGAGGAGGAGCAGCAGGAGGAGCCGGAGGAGGAGGAGGAGGAGGAGGAGGAGGAGGAGGAGGAGGAGGAGGAGGAGCAGGAGCAGGAGCAGGATCAGGAGGAGGAGGAGCGGCGAGTGTGTTCCCCGCCGAGAGAAACAAGGGGGGGGTGAGTGCAGAACTAAAAACCTCCCAAGGTTATCCACGGGATCGCGCCCCAGAACCCAGACCGCCAGGGCTTCGAGGCGGATAGGCTCGCCGCTCGTGACCTCCGGCGTGGCCCTGGTCGTCCGCGTAGACCTCGGTCACCTGGAGCGTCGCGAGGTCCACGTCATAGAGGCCCTCCTCCCAGGCGCGCCGAGGAGGGTGGCCAGGAGGAGGGGGAGTCCCTGAGATCCTGACGCCGCCGTGTCTTACACCGAGCATTTTTTTCTCGCTCCGCCGCGGGCCCAGGGGCCCGAGGCGGAGCGCTTCGGCCCGAGGAATGCCGTGCTTTGTGATCTTGGCTCCGGCCGTGTTTTGTCGCGTCAGGCCGAGAGCGCGAAAACAATGTCTGAAAACGCTAAAACCACGCATCATTGTTTTTGCGTTTTTTGTTTTGTTGGACCTGAAAGCGCTGAAGAAATGATTTCCCAGACGCCGAGCTGAAAACGCAAACGCCCTGGGCACATTCAAGGCGAACCAAGGTAATGATGTCTACATGTGGCTCTGGCCGTGTTTTGTCGCGACGCCGAGTTTCAGACTTAGCGCACCATGGTCCGCGGCATGTGCGCGGACGAGGGGTGGAGGGCAGGGCATATGCTGAGAGAGGAAGAGAGGGGCAGGAAACATGGGAGCGCTCACGGCCCTGGCCATGATATCCACACCCCCGCAGTCCTCACTCCCCTCCCACGCAGCCGACGGTATAACTGTTACACGCGCGGCCCCACGGGGTCCCGACCTTCGAAGGGTCTTTTCGCCCCAGCTCCGTTATTTGACGGTCCCAGGGCCCACAAACGGCCCCCGCGGGCCGAAGTCGAGGAAAACCCGCCAATTGTAGAAACCACATCGTCGGGAGACTCTGGGTCTTGATGCCCCTCTGTGAAGGCGCTCAGGGGCCCTCACGTGAATAGACACCAATCCTCGGACTCCCCAGCTTTCCCGTGTTTTCTAGATTGTCGTCTCCCCCTCCACTTTCCATGTTTATGATTGTGGGAATCGACGTTTACTTGCGTCTGTGTACTTCCCCCCCTGACCCTGGAATGCCCACGATCCTCCATCGTCCCTATGTACACCCGCTGGGTCGGGTTCGACAAGTGCCGCGCCACCCCCGTCAGGCGCCCGGGCATCGCGGACGGCGGCAGCACCCGCACGCTGCCGCCGGCGTCGACGACGTAGGGCCCCATGATCGCCGAAGGAGCGAACACGGCACGCACACAGAACTTTCATCGGCGGCGCGCCGAGGGTCGGAAGTGGGAGGGGGGCGGCGGGCCTTCTCGGCCAGGCGCGGGGCCTCGGAGAAGGCTCCCCAGACATGCGACGACCTGATTTTTTCAGGACGGCGTCCCTGGAAGTCCCGACCCTTTCCCCGGGACCGGTTTTTCGTCCTGAGTCGTTCTCTGACGGTCCCGAGGCCCGGCGAGGGTCCCCAAGGGCCGACAATAGTGAATAACTTGCCGTCCTGATCTTTTTACGACGCTATCATGTCTGGGTCAGAAGCCTCCTCGGAAGGCCGGGGGCCTGCTGAGCCTGCGGTGCAGGCCTGCACCCGCTGCCCTCCCCCCCGGGGCGCGGCACCGGCCGTCGGCGGACCAGGCGCTGGGCTCTCCCGCCCTGGCGCGCGGAGGCAGCTCCGGGGAGGCGACGCCAGGGGTCGGGAAAGGGGGGGATACATCCCCGTTAAGAAAGTTAATTCATCTTGGCTAAAATTGACATGTGTGGGCGCTGTGGTGAGAAGTGGTATGGGAGTGATTCTTCCTTGTGGTTTCACACGGGGAGAGATTCAGAGTTGCCTGGAAGTGACCGGGAGTGATTTCTCTCTTGTGAATTTACGGGGGAGAGATTTTATCCTGAATTGGTTATCTACTATTAATGCTACCAGGGAGAACCCCAGAAATCTCTCCCGCCAAGCCAGGCCGAAGACTGCCGTGCTAGGAGTCTACGGGGGGAACGGGGGGCCACTCGGAGACGCCCTAGCCGTCAGTGCTCAAGATGAATAACTTTCGTAACGGGTAAGTAGCAAAGGGGGGGTTTGAGAATCAGCTCACGTAGCTGATTTTCCCGGCGCCTCCCGGCGCCGGGAGGCGCCCATGTACATCGAGGAATGGGCCCCTCGGCGGGGCCGAAGCCAGCTGCGAGCGGCAAATTTCGTAACCCCCCCCTTTCCCAATCCCCCCCTTCATCCTCCTGCTCCTCCTGCTCCTCCTCCTCCTCCTCCTCCTCCTCCTCCTCCTCCTCCTCCTCCTCCTCCTCCTCCCCCCGCGGACCGCCGAGCGTGTTGTGCTTCTGCCGTCGTCTCTTCCTTCGGCCAGCTCAGCTGCTGGGTCTCGTTGTGGACCATGCGCCCGGCGTGCGTGCCGCCGACGCTCTGCGGCAGGGCCTCGAGGCCGAGGCCCGCGGAGAGCGCGTAGAGCTTGTCCGTGGAGCCCCGCGGGCGGTGCGGGGCGTAGGTCACGGACCGGCGGGCGCAGCCGGGGCGGATGCGTCACGGCTGCGTGCCAGTTCTGCAGCTCGCCTGCTGCTCAAGCGGCGTGTTCGGGGGCAGACGCAGACCTCCCACGTGTTGAAACAGAACAAGACGGAGGCTTTTGAGATGTTTGACCTCTATAGCGGCCCTCGCCGGGCCCCGGGACCGTCAAAAAACGACTCGGGATGAAAAGCCGGTCCTGGGGAGTGGGTCGAGACTTCCGGGGACCGCGTGTTGAAAAAATCACGACATCGGATCTCTGTGAGCTCATCTGTCCAGAGTGTTCCCAAGGCGGGTCGGCGCCCCCCCCCCCCCCACAGCTCTCCCCGTCAAGATCGTAAGTTCCCGATCGCCCTGAGAGAAAGGTGGCGAGCAGCTGGAGCACTGCATGTGCGATCAGGAACTTTTGCGGAGGGTGCCGCGGCGGTGGCCCCCGACGACACGTTGTGCCCTGCGAGCCGGCAGAGCGTGTCGCTCTCCGCTCCGCGCGGGGGGGGGGGCTGGGAAGAGCTCAGGACGTTGGCGCTAGGGGGTCCCGACGTGGTCAGCGTGGTGGGCAAGAACTGGCGGCGCGACACGCCATGCAAACGTTGCTGACCGTATCCACGGGGCTCCGATCGCCAATGCCTTCGAAGAGGCGCCCCAGCGAATGCGCGCAGAATGCCCGCCTCCGTGTCCATCATCCGCCCCTCTTGCCCCCGCCGACTGAACCAGAGCCGCTGCGCCCAGGGCACCACCGCGCCGATGCCGCACTCGTCCTCTAGAGGAAGGAAAAACTGCATAAGCGTACTCGGTCGGAGGTCCACGTGGACTCAGTGGGTCGGCGCTGGAGCCACCTGTCGACGCCTCTGGCGCCGCTCCTGGAACCGGTCCGAGAAATCGGCGCGGGGCTTAGAAACATCAGTGGTGCGAACTGTGCGGTGCAACTCAGTCCTGTTCGCAGTAAGTTGTCCACTCCACTGCTCGCGCAAACATCCCACCCAATCTATGTGGAGCAATCTACGTGGTGCAATGTATGTGGTGCAGTTCACTTTGACTGTCTTGAAGCTGTCTTCTCCACTGCTCGTGCAAACATCCCACCCTCCCTCCCGCAACTTGGTCGCAAGACCTCATAAGACCGTGACGGTTGGTACCAAATGGCACTTGGCAACGACACCGACGCCGACGACGACAGCGACAACGACGACGACGACGCCGACGACGACAACGACGACACCGACGACGACTCCGACGACTTCGACGACGACGACAACAACGACGACGACGACACCGACGACGACGACGTCGACGCCGACGACGAAGACGCTGACGCCGACGACGATGACGACGACGCCGACAACGACGACGACGAAGACGACGACGACGACGAGGGAGGACGAAGGACGGCGACGACGCGAACGTCGAAGAAGGACGGAGGACGGCGACGCCGACGACAACGAGGGAGGAGTGAAGATGACGACGACGACGAAGACGACGGCGACGAAATAGTAGGGACAACGGCGAGACGCCGACGAGGACGCCGACGACGACGAGGAAAGACAGATGACGACAACGGCGACGACGACGACGACGACGACGACGAGGGAGAAGGGAGGACGGCGACAACGACGACGACACAAGAGCGCGCGCGCACGCATCAGTGTTGTGGAACCATATGTTTTCGTATGTTTGTTGGAAGCTCGATTTTGAAATCCTTCCGGAACCGAGAGTTTTTGAAGGATTTCGGCATGCGCGCGCGACGACGCGCGCGTGTGCACTTCGTCCCGTTTTCTGCAAGGGATTATTGAAAACTTCTGATATTTGATAAACGAGTGTGCGCGCATAGTCTTTTTGTCCAGAGGATGGTGGGGGAAATGATTCCAGCCTGGCTGGGATGGTATGAATTCATATTTAGGATGGACGGTGGGGCAGAATCATATGCAAATTGCAATACGGAAAGGGGAACCGTTAACTCGGGGGGGGGGGGGTAGAGTCTACTCTTTTTTGTAGAACGGAGAATCTACGTGATGCATTCTATGTAGCCGTGCCGTTTGTCCTCGACACGCCCGAGTGGACAAAGCCGACACCGCGGCGTTTGCGCTGGTGGCCGCGGGGCCCTCCCCAAGGTGGAAGGCCGCACGTCGGAACAACTGGCTCGGCGATAAACGGTATGGTGCGATACGTGAAACAATCCATGTGCTGCAACCCATGTGGTGCAATCTGTGTTATGCAGACTACGTTGCGTGCAGTCTTCATTGCGCAAAGTCCTGAAAGGCTGTCGCCGTCTTCGTCGTTGTCGCCGGTCCCCAAGGGAATTGAGGAACGCACGGGAACAAGAAACGTCGCAATTGAGTCTGTTCCCTTCCATTTTATGGTTCCCCCTAGCGGGGTGTTAAGTGTGGGGGCCTGGCCCCGGCCCTGGCCAGCCCTGGCCTGGGCCCCAGCCTTGGCCCAGTTCCCGGGGGTCCCCGGGGAGGTCCCGCCTTCAGGGTCGGCGGCACATGGCCGCAAGGCCTTCACCACATGTTCCCCAATCAGTGCTTGCACTGAAGGGGTCCTAACGGAAATTGAAAGATTAGACGAAAATGTCCCGCCGATTTTGGTGGCCAGCTGGATTCCCGGGTTCCTGGTTCCGGTTCCCCGGATTCCTGGTTATTGGTTCCAGGCTGATTTCGGTGGGATCCGGGTTCCCGGGTTCCCGGTCGATCTGCTTTTATCGATCAAACCATCCACTGATTGGGTTTTCTCTCTGTATTAAGTGTGCGCTAGATGTGGTGCAATACAAAGGGACGCAAAGCAATGAGTTGCTTTGCAGGGATATGAAAAGCAGTAAAAACAGTGCAATGCAGCGGCGACGGACGGCAGCGACGGCGACAACAATCGCGGCGACCGACAACCGTGCCCACACAGGGGGCGGCGACGGATGGCGGCGACGGGCGGCGACGGCGACAACAAGCGCGGCGACCAACAACCAGGCCCAGACGACGGGCGGCGACGGCGACATCAGCCGCTAGACCAACACCATCCCCAGCTCATTCGACAAGTAATCAGAAGAACCCCTAAGTGCAAACACTGTTTTGGGAATAAACTTTCGGCTCTCCGTGCGGACTGTTTGGATCGGCACTGGACCCCCCTCCCTAGCGCGCAGAGCGCGCGAAAGGCGACACCTAAGGCGCCGCCATGGGGGGCCCAACGCCGATTCAAGAAATCCGCGCGGAACTCAGGAACAAGTTTCTGAAATTTGTTGCGTCTCGATCGCCCCCCCGCCGATCCTGGTCACTGGTTTATTCAATCTACGGTCCCTGGAGGTCCCGACCGTGTCCTCAGGGCCAATGCGTCATCCCGAGCCGCTTATTGACGCTCCCGGAGCCCAGCGAGAGCTCCTGGAGACCGACAACTGCAGAACACCTCCGTTCGTGATTTATCCCGACCCTCCTGTGTTGGTTGCTCGTTTTGGAAAGGAGCACTGCTTGCGCGTCTCCTCCCGCCTCCTTCCTCCTCCTGCCTCCCCCTCCTCGCCCCCTCCCCCGCTTTACCCCCTTCTCCTCCTCCTCCTGCATCTTGTGCGCTCCGTCAGGGGTCGCGAACTCCGCAAGAGGCACAGCGGAGTGTAGGGCCAAACGGATCCCTTTGAGACCTCGCAGCTCCTTCGGGGGCTGCGAACTGGGCAGCTATCGCAACCTTCGTGGGCTCCTGGGAGGCACGGCGGAATGCAGGGCCAAACGGATCGCCTTGAGACCT